GTATTGTCAGCCCAAGATAAAAGGAAATCTTTCGTGCGAAGTTTACTGCAATTGAGTCGCAATTTTTTGGCGCGACCTCAATTGCACCATACTCGTAGGTGGGTGATTTCGAGGAGATTTCTTTGATAACGTTACTTAAATCTCCTTGAGAGTTTCGGAATCTAAAGAAGCTTTAAAGGCTCCTTTTTATTTGTTGAAACGTTTCTTCAAGTTTAGAGTGAGTGGATGGCAGTTTTTTTGCGCTTCAGCAATCCTCGCGGCTCCGATGCTTGACACTTCAAAGCGCTTACAAAATCGGCAGCAAAACAGGCTATTTCAGTTTGCCCTTTGAAACTGCCAAGAATCCGTCGATCGCTAAATTTCGTAATCGCACTTCATTCTCATTGAATAAACGGATTTTTAAACAGATTTTTTTTCTGAAACTGAAAAGTTATGAAATATCAATTTAGGCTTACCTCACCCATGAAAGATGTCGACGAACTACTAGAACCTAACATGATTGGTTTGAAGATTTCCAGAATCAATCGAGGTTTTAATTTCTTATACTAATAAACTCTTAGTAATCCTTCTAGAAAAGAACGCAGTGGCATGACCTGATGACATTGTTAAATCTTACTCTGTTCCTTGAGCTTTCTTCACTTTGGGTCTGTGCCAAATCTCTTTTTTTTTTCTTTGAGCTTCCCCTCCCCTCCCCCCCCCCCCTCCTTATGATATAAACATGGCTGATAGAATGTCACATTTAATGATTACCTGATGAATCTATAAGCACCAAATAACACAACAGCCAATGCACTGCATCCAATTGCAGCCTTAGTATAGTCTTTACATTGCCATTTTCTGCGTGACTTAGCTTCCCTCTCCAAACTTTCACGTAATAGTAGCTCCTCGACTCTGAATTGTCCATACGAAAGAGTCGGAGCTGACTGTGCGTAGTCAGTCATGAATCCACCAAACTCTTCAATTTCCGCAGCAGTCTCTATTGTTTCATTCATTGGAACGTTTGGCTCGTCTTGGAAATGACTGTCTCTTGTTTCTATGTCTTCTTGTACAATGCAAATTTGTTCTTCCTCTCTCTCTCTCAGCTCCTCGGACAATCTTTGAAAGTCATCTGTAAGGCCTCCCGCCAGCATGTAATGAGCTTTAAGTGTGCGCTTCATCTCTTCCGCAGTTTCATTCGAAAACAACGCACTTTCTCCTTCAAATTTCATTTGCATGGCTTCTTCGTATCCTCCAGGAGGCAAACGAAGCGGCTTCTTACTCTCCGCAAATAAATTTTTTATCTTTGAACAAACTGAGTCTTCCCAATCTTCATCAACCTCACTCCTTTCAACGCAGGGCACACACATCGACAAAATCATCTCGGTAATGTCCTCTACACGTTCCTTTGGTGTATTAAACGTCTTTAATTCAGCTTCCGTGTGTTGTTTCAATATTTTCAATGGCTCAATCTTGCACACCATGGACTCCGTACTCTTATCCAAGTTTCCTGCAAATAGGAAAGAATCGCATGGTTTTCATCTGGTTTCATCCAATTTTTATGCTTGAATCTAAGCGCATACCTTGTAGTGCTTTGGCCGTGCATAAGAATATAACTCAATCTTTAACGAAAAGTGACTACGAAAAATCATTTATTGGACCACATATGGAAAAAGTTGATAATCTTATATTTGCAATTTTATCAATTTCGTTGCGTGTAATATATTGATGTGCATTAAATATATTTTACCTGTCACCAGGACATCTTGTAACGGGTTAAATCCTTCTACTGTGCCTGCTATGATGTTTTGCACTGTGTAAACAGGTCCAAGCTTGAAGGACTCGAAGGAAAAAAATCGCTGAGCGCATGATTCTACGGACACTGAAACGAAAAAAGATTAAAGAAAATGTGGTGTATTTCTGCAGTGCGACTGTTTAGTAATAGATCACAGATGACGTCAAATTATGGTAAGAACAAAAAAATGGCACACGAGGTGCAGTCAGAAGTGTCACCGATATTCTTACCACATTTTGACCTCTCATCCGAAGCATATGGGCGTGAAATAAATAATGTCAGCTTCCGAGTCTAATAAACCGTCTTAGAAGTATAGGATATAGGCTAACCTGTACCCAGGTTTACTTATGAATTGAGAGAGGCGCTGTGAGATTAAAAATAAAGAGGAAGTCTTTATTTTACGTTAGTTTTAGTATCCACAGATGGACATGCAAAATCCTAGATAGATCAACGACTAGGAGAAGCACTAAAAAAAAACTCACACATGTTGTGTAGAATGACCCAAATCAACATTTCCAGTTTGTGGCTGTTTAGTTTCGTGAAGATTCCATGTATGGTTCCCATCGGTGCACGGTTTTTATCGAGCTTCAAAGACATCGCAACCGCAGTCTTACGTGCTACGAAAGAAAACCACTGTTATGTATGTAACGATGAGTTTAGGTCAAAAAAGCTTATTTAAATACTCCAACATAAACCGAGTAGTTACATGTTCGACAGCCACGAAATAACTGACAATTCGTAGAGCGCTCATTGGGATTAGTTTGCGTAAACGTGCGTATGTCCGCCGCTTATAATGATAGCCCGGTATTTTATGCCTACATACTTGCAACAGTATTTTGTCACAATGTAAAATTTTCATCGCCAACAATTGGCATGATGCTGTGGCATCTATCCTTTTGAAACAGCCTGAAGGTAAAGTCAATGATACTTTTTCATTAATTAAGGGGCTAAGTTTTGAAAGAAACTGTGGTGCTGAGACGGTGGAGAGCATTACAAGACAGTTTGGTTTAATCAACTCAGAGTTGATAATGTTCATTGGCCACCATAAAGAGTTTCTGCAGCTGATATTTCGAGCATTAGCTCTAAGGAAAACGTCAGTCTCAGAAACTCTTCACGATGGCCGGTTAACGTCATCAAATCGGTTGTTAAAACCAAATTATTTACTTTTTTTATGGGTGACTGACTGACTAACAGAATGACCGCCAAACTGACTGACTGGCTGACTGACCAACTGACTCATTGATTGTTGACTGATTGACAGTCTGGTTAGCCAACTGATCGATTGACTTATCAACCTTCTGATTGACTGAACGCATGAATGACGATGGAATTGAATGTTTCATTCGTCTTGTTTACGTTGGAGTGTAGCGATATTAAAACAATACAAAAGCTTTTATTGCAATTTGAATTTCAAAATAGTAATAACGCCGAGAGGAACCAATCATAGATAACACAAGGTGTGTTACAAGGTGCAGTCTCACTTACCTACAGAATTCTTTATCATTTGTTCAAGTGCATCCATGACTTCTTCGTTGAAGCGATTCCCAACGTCATGTTTTGAATTTCCACCATGACAAACATCGGAAGGTTTCACTTTCCTTCGACTGATTACATTCGTGATAATCACATGCATTACACACAAACTCCAAAGGAGAGTCTGAATGAGGATTTCAGTTTCAGCTGCTCTTTCAAAATCAAATAATCCTGGAAAAAGGAGAATTAGATCGAAGTTTTCAAATGAATATTGAAGTAAAGGTGTTGAAAAGAATGGGGTAATAAATGGAATGTTTAGAGAAAGGACTTTTACAATTTGAGGTGTGTTTTTCAATGGTTGTTGTACTAAAACTCCAAAACATACTTCCGCAAAATCTATTTTTATACGATATCTACTGGATATATTAATTGGATCAACTAAATATATTGATTGAATTTTGATAAGACGCGCACAATTTTACGAATTTTCCAGCCAAACCAGTCAAATTTGAAGACGAGTATGCTTTTGTCTCCGAGAATTATCGAAATAGTTTTTACATGTACACAAATTCCGTCAGAATTGTGGACATTGTCTAAGTGGTAAAGCATCCAAAGTACTGATCAGAAGCTCGTGCGTTCGACTCCTATTGAGAGCAGTTGGTTTATATTTCTCCGAGTATCCCGGCGCCATTCACTGAATACCTTCATTTTTCATTGTCCCGGAATTTTAACTGATCTGGCGGGATGATTGTGAGTATTGAGGAAATTATCTTTGTCAATGGAATGTTGTGATCGATAACTTCCATGAGACGTTTGTTGCTTGTTTAAGGTTAATTAATTGGGTTTGAAACGAGAAATACTTTATATATGCTAACCTCAGGAAGCCACATACGGTGCAAAGTTATGATTCAACATGAAAACGCGGTTAAAACAATTAATGCCGTCGTTGCTTTTTTTGTTTAACTGTTCTTAGCCTACATTTCCAAATTTCTCAGTTATTCCCATTTTTCAAAAAGATATATTTGCGAGGTTATTTGGAAGTTTAATAGTTTTGGTAACCACCACAAACAATCTCTAAGGCAAGATGAAGAGATGTAGTAAACTTGGCGCCCGTTGATCGTTTAACGAAGTCTGTTATACTGGGAAATTATGTTGAAAGATTAATTATCTCTGTCAAATAAATCTCAACTTTTGTTATTTCTATCACTGTATGAATTATTTAAAAGGCATCCTTCTTAAAAAAAAAAACCAAACGAGCCGCAAGAAATCATGTTACATGAGAAGCGCTCCTTTTCAATTACCTTTGGATTTCTTCTCGGATAGTCTGAATCCAACAATTGATTTCTCATCGCATGATAGCGGTGCCAACAGGATGCACAGTAAAATTTCAACGCACGAGTTCATCTTCGCAAATCCACGCAGATGAAACAGGACAAAATTTTCTCAACTGATAATCCATTATCCTTTATTACGTTATAAGCGTTTGGCTTTGCGCGCGCGCGCGCGCGCGCTTTTATCGAAAAACTGAAGCTACTTTATATAATAATTAACAGCTAGTCGCCGAAGTGGAGGATATTTCCCATTCTGCGAAGCGACGAGGTAAATTTCCACAGCTAGCCACCGGTACTGAGTTGAATAGTAATTTTACTGTATATTAAAACAGTGAGATATTATAGAGAAAAAAGATTATTTTAACTCCTTCACTCCTGCAAAGATTTCAAAGGAATAACAAAGGATATTCGGAGTTTAAGTAGCCAATCAAAAGGCGCCTTCAACGTCATTTTCTATTTTAGTATACACTAATTGTGGATATAGTCTACATTTTTAAAAAAAGTTTAATAGTCTCAATTTATGATACATTTGTACAAAAAGCGATGATTTTTTCAACGTTTTCTTTTTATCGAAAGGTAGTACGTATTGAATTTGGTTTCTTTTACTTTAAAAGGCGCCTCTCGCTGACGCTTTCATTCCTCGAATTAATGCGCCTGTATCTGCACAGAAAATAAACTTTCATCAAGGTCTTCACTTCCTTCTCCTTGTAGCTTCCACGACTTTCCTCGAGAATCAACACTCGATTGGTAAATGTTACTTCAGTTGGAGATCTTATGTGCCTGCTTCCACAGCTTCCCACGGGTATCTTAAAACGGACATGCTCGTTGTCAACATGGGATGGTTTGCAGAGCGGGTCATTGAGATGAATATGCATGCGTGCTATGTCAAGCCAGGGGAACCTGGAGCGATGCAGAGTGACGGTTGTAAATTGGGAGTCACATTTAGTCACAGCTGCTTCTTCATCAAAGATAACACCACGACGTGCTGCAAAGTAAAAAAAACATGATGAGGATCGAAAATGTAGTATGACCGCGCGCCGAAACGTGCCAATAACTGCAATCCAACACGTATACATTTGGCCTCATCGCCTGAGGAAGGCTAGCAGTGTAATAGTCGAAACGTTGCGATCAATACAATTGAAAGCCTGACTTTATCTCTAGTTTGAGAAACACGAAATGTCGTACAAAACCGGAACCTAACTATGATCCGATTCAATTGACTTGAACACCTACAACTATTTACCTGGAATTTTCATTTTTATCACATGCCTCTCGGTCTGTTTCCGGGCATCAGTTGCTTGGCACAAGTAACGCCCACTATCTTGAAACTGAGGCTTTAACACGTAGCTCAACACCCTCCCTTGCGCACGCGCTATCACCACGTTGCGCCTGCTGATGCTGACCTGTATCGGGGGCTCACCTCCGTGAAAAAAACATTTTAACTTGATTGGAATGCCGAGTGGGGCAAATATTGTGTGTGCACTGGACAGTAATAAGTCAGTAGAGAGCGGCTCTGGAAAGAAAAGAAGAAAGGATGAGGTAAGTATTCAAAATTTTCTTGCGAAAGACAATTTTATTCCGTGAATGACACAAGCGAACTTGTAATAATAGATCCGAGTGTTCCCGAACCTTCGACCTTCCAATAAGTAGTTCAGATGCTCTACTGTTGAGCTATAAGACACTCGTGGCAAGCTAGGCCACTTAAATTGTCTTGTTCACTATTTTGATGTCTTTTAATTACAATCCGGAGACCAAGACTCAACAAGAGTCTGTCCCAAGTGGTGTTAAGGTATCATTACAATTTTTGTCAAACCTTACATAGCCAAGTAGGGGTCATGCGTGCATCAGATTCTTATGCTAGTTTTTGTCGGTGGGATTGATTGTTTTTTTGATGGTAACTTACCAAGAGGTTTAAACACTGGCTTTCCAGCTGAACGGGTTATTTCATGACGACAGAGGAACGGAAAGTACACATCCGGTAAATATGTGACTCTGAATCCTTTTGGTCTCCGCACTCGGGCAATAACTACGTTACGAGACTCCAACACAAACTTATTCCTCCTCACTGTCCTTGTGCCGCAACTAAAGAGCGGAGCCTGGATTCTAATTATCATGTCCGTCGCGTTGTACGTGTTGCAATTTAATTGGACAAGACTAATGTGAAATTTTTCTGGCTGTAGCCATGGATACACGAGTCTGCTTAGAGAGATGTCAATGGTATTTGTCCTACACTTGACTGTTAGACCGTCCGATTTCATATCACGGGGCCCTAGGATGAAAAAGTGCATAAGGAGCCGGTCATTATTTATCGTCTGGAGGGGGATGGGGGGGGAGGGGGAGGGGTAGAGGATTTTGATTGTTCCACTCCATAAGGCTCTGTTATATTCTTTTGCTTCCCCCCCCCAAATTGGCAGGTAATCAGCAGTCAATTTTCTATATTCCCTCTCCATGCTCTGTTAGCAACGACTGAACCCACTCCATTCTCCAGCGTCGAGGTTGTCAGTCTGTGAATGTCTCATTTTGTTGCGTGAGTACCTCAGAAATTCTGCTTAACGAAGACTTATTGAATAATTTTAAAATAACCAATTTATAATGAGTGGTATTCATGTAACTAAATAGATAAATAAATTCGTAATATGTTAATAGTCAATAAGTTAGTTTGAAACAAAATTTTCAAAAGAGTCCTGATAGAGTATGTCTTACAATAGAATAATACTATAAAGTAGTGACTCACAGACGCAGTTTTGACAACCTTTGTGTTAAACTTGATTTGCAGGGTTTTTCTTCCTTAATGACCGTTTAGACTGGTCACTCAGCCATCTATCTTTGCTTCCGGTATTTTAAAAGTTTCATCCCCTAAATTTCTTACCTGCTTTCCTCAAATGAATTTTATGCTTTATTTTCCTTGCCTTCGAATCTGTTGCTATACATTCGTAGGAACTAAAAACTTTGGTGTGAGTGGTCTTGATGGTAGCGTACAAAACTGTTCCCCTCACCACCACCCCGCGTATAACTCTTTTCCCTCTCCTGGTCAGTTTGATGTTGACCGGAGGGTTCCCACCCTTAAACGTACAAACCAGTCTGACGTCAAATCCTTTGTACGTTTTAACCACTGGTGGGCTACTCTTGGACTTGTCTACGGTCAGCGGTTCTATTAAAAAACGGAAGTGCATTACTCAATTTCAATAAATAATATTACATTTTGTTAAACATTTCAGAGAATACATTTTTCGCAATATCACACGAAGCCGATAAAAAGCTGGAGATACAAGTTTGCTTAAGATTTCGTAGTTTTTTAGTGACTTAGATGCTAAATAACGTATATATATCTTTAGCAGTACTCCTCAGCAGTCATTGTCAACCTCGAGATGAAAATTATCGTCAAGACTTGATTGACAAAGGCCTTAAGATGAACGTTAAAAAAAGCATATTGACAGTCCTTTTTTTTAAGCAGTCCTTACCGCATTACTGACTAATTTATTCGACTCTAAGTGCAGCCTTTGTCTCTTTCTCGTTCGATATTTTGTCTTCCCTGCGTGGGGAAAGGAGTGTGTTGCGTGACAAGACCAGACAACGGCTGCTTAAGATACTAGTGAACACTTGGTGAAGATATGATAAGCATGCGAGCAATCTTTTATTGACATTGTCACACGATAGCCGCGCGTTTCTGTCTAACCCAGACCCCGCTCAGACTTCTCCGCGACTCGGATTTCTCGGTTAATATTTCATTAAGCTAAAAAAGCTTTCGTACTAAGTAATTCATTACCTTTTGGAATATCTTTTGTTGAAATCGATGATAATTTTCCATGATGAGGCTGACACTGAAAAGGGAATAGAACATCCGGGACCCTCGTTATTATTGTCCCTGGCTGGGGCCTTAACAATGCAATCAACGTGTTTCGATAGGTGACACCACTTGGCGAATTCCTTTTGACTGTTTTGCAGTTAACGTATTTTGTTTTCACCATGATATGTGTGAAGTTCACGTGATATGGTCGACAGTTGCTGTCGAGCAGATGCATATCAAAGTACTTGGGGTGTAACCATGGATACGTCAAACGGTCAAGAGTCAGTTGCATGTCATCGTGCGTGCAAGTGATCTGTTTTCCAGCCATTAAAATAGTTGATATATCTGAGACAAACAAACAGACAAACAAATTAATACAGAGGGTAAGTTTCTAAGAAAACTAGTCGAACGAACGGGGAGGAGGGTGTGGTTTACAAGGAAAGTTGTTTGTATCAACTGAGTTGATCATGTGAATTGGCCACCGAAGAAAGATTCTAAAGCTGAAGTTTCGAGCCATACCCCCTCGCCATTCGTTATGACGAAGGGTTACCGCAATTCGGTGAATAATTTACATTATCAACTCAGTTAAAACAGACAAACACACGATTAAAAAAATCTATTGATCTGTCCGCTTCACAACCTATGAAAGTAACCAATAAAAATTTAGCAAAGTTTATAGCAAAAAGAAAGCAGAGAAAAGAGATAATTTTGTCTGAATGAACTCATATCAACCACAATGTACTACACATTCTGTTACAGATTTAGCTCCTTTGTGTAACAATTGTAACAACACAGTTATACTGGCAACTATTCTAGCCTTATCAAGTAAATGCTTACCAATTTTCTTCAATTGGATTTCGTACGTGATTTTCTTGTGATTTGCGTCCTCTGCCTGACAAGTATATACACCAAAATCGTCGTTCTTTTGCCCAGCTGTGAGCGTGATAGCCTGGGTACTATTTTGCTGTCTGGCTACAATTTTCCCTTTGTGAGATATCACAGCTTGCACGGGATAGGCGCCATATTTGAAAGTACATCTTAACTCCACTGGTAATCCATAATAAGTCCTGACTTCTTTGGGACTCGAGCGGAGTTTGTCCAGTTGTAGGGAGGCTAAATAAAAACAATATAATTGTTTCTTGAAAAAGAAAGATCAAATCATAACATTGGTTTCTTTTTTCAATATTTCCTCTAGTTTTTTTAAGGTAAAATGTTCTAACTTCTTCTAACCCGTTAAAATATCCAGAAGAGATTGACTTATGACTGTCCCTTGCAATATCAGTGCGATATCAAGCAAATAAGCGAGACAAATTGCTAGTATGAGGTTTCTCTCTTGACGAAATGCCAAGTTCTCCTAACTTACTTGCAGGGAAATATTTGGTAGCTAGAAAAGAGAATTAAGTTTCAGATTATGAGAGATAAAATCGGTTGAGGAGAACAAGATATCTTAATAAAAGTGCATTCATTCTAAAATTAGTAATGGTAATTGAACTGAGTGGAATGCAATTTGGTCTGAATTTACTTTATTACATCCATTTTGAAATCGAAAAATTTATCCGCTCAGTAACAGGATTTTTTGCCAGTACAAATGTTTTGTTGATCCAATAGTGAGCTAGTTTTAAGAAAGTTGCAAAGTTTGTTTTTTCATTGTCCTGTGATTTGATTGGTTTATTTTAACAAACAATCGGTTGCTGTATTTTAGTAAAGCATTTCATCAAATACCTGAAACATGGAGAATTTTGTTCCTGTTGTAAGTACATCGAAAACCAACGTCCAAGTCTGGGATGGGAGACACAAGCTGTTTAGGTCCAGTCTCTTCTCGGGCAATGAAGGTGTTGGTGAAAATCACGTGATTTTGCGTGACCTTGAACTTTGTACCGCATTCATAATGCGATGTTCGTATGAACACATGTGAGTTGTTTGCAAAGAATGGCTTGCAGTATTTCTCCGCCAAGTGCATTTCCAGTCTAGAAGAAAGGCTTTGCCAGAGATGCGACTTAAATTTTATTTCAAGTTCGATGAAGTCGTCTGCACACGTCACGTGACTGTCAATGTAACGTTGCTCTGTTGAAAGAAGTTGAGGGACAGATCAGCACGTTTTCCTTCCTTTTGCTGTGTTGAGCACAACAATACAAGTGACACTTCCTATACCACACAGAGAGATTTCCGCAGATTACCACTTCATTCTAAGCATATTATAGTAAGTAATTGGCATCAGGCCATCATTGGTTTTTTTTCTCTCTTTTTATTTTCCCTATTGAAGTGTTGCACATGCTTGAATCAGCGGTTTTGTGCTTCGGAGAGCGGAGATTTAGATCTGAATGAGTCACAATGATTCCTTTGGATTTTCTTCAAGATCTTATCCAGAAGGGAGTCCTCTTTCATTCCACCATAGAAAATTACCCCCTCTACCTCTTTTTCGCTAAAGCTTGAGAAATCAGTACGCGCGAAATTGAGGTTGCGCATAATACCGCTGCGCATCGGATCTTCAACCGCATGCCCAGCGCACGCGCTATCAAGTAACAAGAACCACCTGAAAGCCATTAAAGGATTACTGGACAATTAAGGGAAAATTAACAACATTCCTGCTGTTTAAAAAATCAAAAGCTACAGGGTAACAGCGCCATAACAATGCTGGCAGAAAATTCACTTCAACTTTCCGTGACCTTTCTGAAGTGAAATGATGAGGGAGGTATGTTAAAACGATGTAGGAATAATTGTTTCTTCCGTTAATTAGAGCACGTAAGAGTTAAAGGAGTCGTGCACAAAATCATTTAAAGCTGTGTTTTGTTTTCTTTCTCTTAAATCATGGAAAAGCGAGTGCAAGTATTTACTGAATTTTTTTCGCATGTTTATGTTAGATTTTAAACTCGAGCACAGACCTTGAAAAGACTGATGAAAAGCTTTTCAGCACAAAGATATGCAAATATTTTATAATTTCAAAAAAAAACAAAAAACAAAAAAAAACAGAGTACTTTAAGTGTGTTGTTACAAGAAAACCATGCCACTTTCTGGCTTCATTCCTCGAAAAAGTTGTACATAAATGTATTTCACTTTTTTGCTATTGTAAGAGTCAAAAAATCGAAAAAAGTTATTTAAGGTACAAAACAATCTTTTAAAATTGCGAGCCGTAGTCTTTCTATTTCTCCCGGGAACTCGTTGAAGTTTATTTTTAGACTGGCTCAAAGTCCTAGTTCGAAAACAAATGACCTGCCAACAAACATTTGTAATACATCGAATGGAGAACTTTGCAAAAGTGGGTTACGTGATTAAACGTACATTTCTCATCTGTACATTTTGTTATCCATGTTCATTTCAGACATGAATTATCATTGAACATTATCGAGTTAATGTCAGCTATGAAGAATCGCCGGTTTCAAGTAGAGTAAAATTGAATGATGTCTGGCAATAAAAAGCCTCCTGTTATTTTATCTGAGGTGAATTTCTCACACTTCCCTCCCCGTCGCAATGAGTTCAGCTATCAGATCTTCATCAGAATTAATTAAATCTTAAGTCTTTGAGATTTCCTCACTGACGATAATCTGAGAGGGAGACTACGCTAAACCTTACGCGCAACGTTATCAGGTGAAATATGCCGGAAAACTTGGTGCTCATGTAAACAGACAGAAACAAATACCTTCCAGGGAAGAGACGTCACATAACAAAAACAACGTGAAGAAAAGAACCCATTTGCCGCATAATACACCGGCGGACATCCTGATACGAGATACTCGGTGTGTTGTGAGAAAGCTCTGCCTTGCAGGTTTGCTGCTCACGTAATACGATAAATACTTTAGTTACATGATTAAAATGGAAACCGGTCCACGACATAGTTGGTTTGGATCCAACTTTTTCAGTAATCAGAGAAGGGAACAGAAAATCATTTCCGGTCGATGAAAGACGAGACAGCTTTAAGGAGGTCGCTCTTAATGTTTGTTGTTCCGGAAAGGTTAGGATGCTGTTTATAATGCGAACAAACTCTTCAGGGAGTACTTGAGGATTTCGCAGGTCACGTAAACTTCTAAATCTCTTTACTGTATGGCATGGACTGTTCCACTCGTTCAGTCAGTAAATCGGAGCGAAACAGTTAACGGCGAGTTAATGACGGCGGAGCGAAAGAGTACACGGCGTGATAAAAGCGGCCGAGCGAAAAAAGCAGATGGTTTGGGTCGAGTTCATTTTCCTGACTGAACGCGTGAACATGCTGGTATAGCTCAATTAGATTCGCCATTCCCTGAGTACATCTTTTGTAAGTCTGACTGGTTAATGAAGCCGATTAATTTCTTTATCATACGTTTTTTCTTTTAATACTGTTGTATGTAAGTTGAAAGTTAATGATGATTGTTAACTACAAAAAAAAAACGTTTTATTGCGTGACCATGTACAAATTGAATAGCTTCTCAATCATTTTGGAATAACAGACCAATAAAAACCTCCTACTTAGTTATTGAGTCGCACTGTGTGAAAACAAAAGCAAAAGAATGAGTTAGGGGGCAGCACGTTTGTTTCCATCTTTCATTTGTGGCGTCTCCCAAAGAGTTTCCTTCACAAACTAAGCCAGCTGTTTAGAACATGTGTCTTTAGTTCTTATTCTTAACCCTTTTTTCCAAGCAACAATAGCTACGTCAAGATTTGAACTGAAGTGTTGTCGTTTTTAATCATAAAACTGAACTCTGATTTTGTTACCTTCTTTTAACGTTTCTTAATTTTTTTGCACGGTTCAAATCTTGTTTTGCCCAAATGCGTGTGCAACAACTACCAACGACGGTGCATGCAAATAGATTCCATGTTGCTGTGGGTCTCTTCGTTAATGGATCACAGACCGGACGTCAAAATGTGGTTAAAAAAAAAAGTGGCATACGAGGCGCATCTGAGTGTCTGATGCTCTTATCACATTTTGACGTCCGGACTGTGATCTATTACTGAACAGACATACGGCAACATGGAACCTATTGGCATGCACCGTCGTTGGTGTACGCAGTTTTCATCTAAGCGCCTGTCCTCCAACACATCATCAGTGGGAACCAATAAAAGTGCATCTAAAATATTGCATATGCATATTTTTGGCGGCAGTGCTCAAACAGTCCCGAAAGTACCAACAATACTGTGCAATCGTAACTGACTTAGATGTAGCGAATGACCCTCGGTACCTTCATGGATGTGTCGAACTGTGATACGCATCATCATCAAGCACCCGTGCGCAAGTACGTTTTACAATGCATTTCGAATGTCAAGTTACAAAAGAAGGCATTTCTGTTTCCTGTAAGCCAAGTGAGAGACAAGCGAAGGTTTGTTAAGGACAGGGTACAAAACCACAACGACGCAACAGAGTAGAAGTGGAGAAATGATCCTCGCAGGTGAGCTGAAATTCAGGGAATTGCGAGGGAAACATGACGAATTGCCGGGGGCGCGGTGAGGGAGGGGGAGGGGGGGTATGGGGGATAATCTGAAATATACTTTCGATGGATAATGGAAATCATCCATGACCCTCTGACATCAGAAAATTGTGAGCCCCTGGGTGAGATTTCAATCGACTTCTTCCCCCTTCGCAAGTTCTAAACCATTGATTGAAAAGGAATCGGTTTCTGATCGTTTAATAAAATTCGTTGCCGTTATTCAAATGTAAGGATGTCCTTTGTGAAGGTCGAAATTTGAGTACGCCAACAAAATAGTCTCTGGTCAGTTGCAGGTAAAAACTTATCCAATAAATCGTAATACTGTTTTGAAACATCATAAAAAATTCTGAGATAAATACAGATTTAGCTGAGGATTGGAGACTAAAAGCTTAAAAACGAAACTTGGTTAAAGGTGCAAATAAAATCGTCAAAAGGTCATTCAAATATATATTCACAGTTCAAAAAGTATATCTCTTTAGGAATTGCGCATTAGATTTCTTTCCACGCTTCTCATTGTCAAATCGAAATCCTCTGCGGGACGTAAAATTGAAGTCTCTCGTTTGCTCAAATGAAGTATTTCTAGTGTCAAACTCTCCGTCGTGGAAAGACCTGTGCTTGAAATCTCTCTTGTGACGCGGGTTTTGGAATCTTCTGTCGTTTTTTTGATGTGAATTACTTCGGGCATTTATCGGTCGATTGTCAAAGTTGTCGTCAAGACTTTCCTCGCCTCGCCAATGCTGTTTTCCTTGCTGCAAAGAAGGAATTAAATAAATTCAATATAGTATCCAATTTGCTGCAAAAAGAGGGGTTCAGTTGCGATCAGACATAACAAACCCAGCACGTATGAGTGGAGTTTCTGTCGAAGGGTCAGAGGTGTGAGTCCTCGTATGAGACTCCACTTTACTTTAGCTCACAATCGTAACAAGTGTTTGAAAAATTTCCTAGAAAATTGGTGCGTATGCATCAGATAACCAGCGAGCTTGCACACGGAAATAAAAGAAGGTTTGATTCTACTTACTTTCTCTACATCCCTTGCACCCGCCCAGAAAGAAAAATCTCTTTAAAAGTCATGTCCCAACTTAATCCGAGTATTTTAACTGAGATGCACGATCGGCTGAATTCAAAAGGCAACAAGTTTAAATTTTTGCCGTTTGCTGTTTCCGTACTCCAATTCACTTTTTTGAGGTTTCTATTTTCAATCGAGACATAGATTTCTGACTAGAACCGCCAAAGGGTTCATGGATGGAAAAGACGTCTCACCTTTTTCTTTTTCCTTCTATTTACTTGATACGGTTCCTCTGCCAGGCCATCCTCCGAGAGATCGAGTTCTACAATCTCAACAAAACGCTGAAAAAATAAAATTAAGTTAGCAAAACGTAAGTGACATTTACAAAGAAAGAAGCAAAAACAAAAAGAGAAAAAGGCAAATAGGAATTTATTTCACAAGTACTCGTCGAAGACGAAGTAAATATATAGAGGGTATTACATGACCACACGGAGATACGAAATTACTCTTCTCGTGTTGAAATATTTTTTAGCACCCGAAGAGAAATTTCGTACCTCCAAGCGGCTATGTAACATTCTAGTTATTATACAAACACCAACGAAACACTAAATCATTTCACTTTAACATTCTTTAAAAGGAGAACAACGTGTCATGAAAGTAGCCATAGAAACAGTGATCCTTTTATGTGTGAAGATAACATGTTTCCGCGCAAAAGCTCACTTGGTATTTCACAGATGTTTATATAATAATGTTGAATAATCCTCGAGACGAAGTCGAGAGGACTATTCAACAACATTCACTGAGCCTGAGGCGAAAAATTCCTTTGGTATATTTGCTCAGGTGCTTTCGAATTCTGTTAAAAATTCGTTTGTTGTTGAAACCAATAAATTATAATCTTTTTGATTACTCGTGTCGAGATAAGCAGCCATTCTCCACAGGAATTCATTGGGTAAATTTAATTCAATTAGCAAAAACTTCAAATCTTTCTTTTGAGAAGTGTTATACCGAGCTAAATAGGATCTATCGTTCTCTACGGAAATGAATTTTTTATTATCACGTTTATCACTTGCTCGGTAACATTGACAAAACGCAAGGCAGCCATTCTAAAATTTAGCACTTCTGCTATAATCTTCGCGCGTGAGGTGATTATAAACAATTATTGGATGAGGTTTTTGTGATATCCAGAATTATCAAGGTCAAGGTGGGGTTCGGCTGATAGCCCTAACCAAGACCTTAAATATTCTAGAAATCACAACAACCGAATCTAGCAATTGTTTTATTACACAATGAAGGAGAAAAAAAATGATCACTACATTAAGTAGAACTGATAATATATTTCTATACAAAAAAGTACACAAATCAGCAAGCAACACATAGCGCACGATCTTGACATGATTACTCTTAGAAATCACGCACCGCGGTCATACATGAAATGAATACCCGTGACCTTGAGCGTCCTTGACATGATTATTGTTTAATCTGCTACTAGGAGACGTCCGAGGCACTGATTTAAAAAAATTCATTGTATGCTTTCGGCCAATCAGAAAAGAGATAGTGAGTTGAATGTTTAATAAATGCGAGATATGACGCAATCTTCGACCAATCAGAGCACGTGCATCTCTTTAATCACCGGAACAGTTATACTAATAGCAAACAAAACTATCCTCTGACTATATTACCTCATTCCTTCCATTCGTTTCATTATCCTTCTGCCTTTTCCTTTTCCTTTTACGATCTGAATAAGGTGAATTATCGAAGTTCCTGCTTTGGTAGTCGTCAGTGTAAAGAGACACTATACAGGAGGCGAGAAAAAGATATTCTATTATCAGTTGAACAAGATGATAACAAATAGTGAGCAACTGTGAAAAGAAAACAAAAAAAAATCTGTATCAATGAACCAGTTTGTATACAGTTAAACCTAACTTATGAACAAGGCAGCTAAGCAACACGACCCCATTTTGCATTTGTACGCGCGTCGCGCGCGTTTCAGTGTCGAAGCGAACCTGAACAAAGGTTGGAACAAACCTTCATCTATGAACCCCTCTCACCCAAGAGTAGACTCCATCTCCAAGATAGCTAAGTCAAACAAGAATATTATCGGGAGAAGTCAAGTCACTAGGCAACGTGAAGAAAAAACCGCGGGCTCAGTTAAACTCAACATCGCTGCCAACTAGTACTTATCCTCCTCACTATGTTATAGAACGACACTCACCTTTTCTAGCATCATGATCTTCGCCTCCGCCAAGCTTCCTTACTTTGCCCGGGGTAGGTTGAAACACTCTTTTACCAATGTCGAAATTTTGCAGTCTGGGTTGATCACAGAACTCTTCGGACAAGGATTGATGATACGTGATTTCTTGTGATTTACGCTTGTGTTTGTTTCTGTCGTAATCCTTTTCCATGAGCGACGAAGACGCGTGACAGCCGTCGTAGCAGACAACAAAAGGCAATGGCAGTTCTCGTCTTCTAGTCGCATTTTTTTCCTGACATTCCTAGACGATGTCACAAAAGAGAAAAGGGATAGAAGGTGGAACAAATCTGCGGAATGTATTACGTCACAATCAGGCAGGTGTGTGGGTCTGTGGCGGGATTTTTGGCGTCCCACTCAGGGGATGCTTTCCTACCTAATGAAATAATTCGTATTAAATTAACTTAAATCCTACGCGCATTTTGAATGGTTCTTGCTTATGAACGATTAGAGGAAAGGTGCATAGATGACGTCACCAATGATAAATTCTGCTTTTTAATCAATAAATCAAATAGATTCCATATTGCCGTGGGTCTCTTCAGGAATAGATCACAGATGACGTCAAATGTGGTAAGAATATCAGTGACACCCGGCTGCACCTCGTGTGCCACTATTTTGTTCTTGTTTGTAAATAAAATAAGAGGCATGGTTAGTTTTAAGCTCGGTAAAGACATAAAGAAAGATGTTTTTCGTCTTGTCACGAGCGTGGGACAAAGAAAAAATTCTGACTCCCCACAAAGAATCGAACCTCAGACCTTCGGATTCCGGGCTCTGATGCTCTACCACTGAGCCACAGAGACTCTACGGTCAGTGAGGTCTATTACGAAGTTCATGTGACACGCTTCCTGCATACTGCTAGGATCAGCAGTTCGATTCCTCATGAGGACTCAGAATTTTTTCTTTGTTCCACGCTCGTTACTGGACGAAAAAAATCTTTCTCTATTTCTTTACAGGGCTCAAAACTTAACATCTCTCTTATTATATTTACAAATATTACGCTATCGACATTGCTGATCCTGGCAGTATGCAATATGCGTGTCATATGAACTTTGTAATAGACCTCACTCACCGTAGAGTCTGTGGCTCAGTAGTAGAGCATCGGATCGCGGAATCCGAAGGTCTGAGGTTCGATTCCTCGTAGGGACTCTGAATTTTTTCTTTGTCCCACGCTCGTGACAAGACGAAAAACATCTCTCTCTATTTTGTTCTTACCACATTTTAACGTCATCTGTGAGGTCAAATTAACAAATATATTCCATGTTGCTCGGCAACATGTAATATATTTGTTAATTTGACTTCTAAATGAAAAGTGATAGTGAGATGATCTCAGGCGAGAAAGAAAATGCACGGTTGGAACCCACGCACCTAGTTTATGGTCGGTTGCTTCCATCAATTTAGTTACACAGTCAGATGTTGGGAACGATGAAAATTTTGGGATTTTTTTTCTTTCTCGTTACAGTAATTTCCTTAGTTTTAGGGCTCGATTAGCAAGCCTTTTACAACTATAAGATACTCACATGTCCATAGTGACCCTGCTGGCCACAGTTATAACAAGATACAGACTTCGGAGGAGATAAAGGTCTTTCAGGACGAGTTATTGGACCCACTTGTATCTGGGATCGAAGAATATCACGCAGTCAAAGTTAATAACACAAAATTATATTACGAATTGTTGGAAAAGGCGTTGCAACTCAACTGACTACCCATGACTGTGACAACCACAAAGTAGGTGGCAATCACCCCTTTTTCTCTTCACTCTGTGAAAAAGATAACTGCAAAGAAAACAATTCGTTTCTAAAGAAACTGTTCAACTTCGTCGGTAGCGGGTGCGCAAATTACTGGGTCAATCACCAATGCGGAGATGATAAGGCTAACTATAACTTGATAAAAGGGCCTTCGTCAACAAAGCACATGGGAGAGGAGGGTTACTGTCGAGAAGTCTAGCTTTTAAATCGTTTCCTGATAGAGCAAGTGACTCGGATAATTCTCTATTGAGTAGGAGGGCCCGTAGAGAAAACATTTGGCCCGAAGTCACGGACCTTTGTTTCTCCCCTTCTCCAGCGCGCAGCTCGCGGGGCAGTATGGCTCTTTACTGCCCTGCTCACGTCATCTCATATGGAAAGCCTAACACGAGGATACTCGGTTAGGAGTTTTATAAGAAAAAATTTTTTTTTCATTGAAGAAACTTTGTTACTTACTGTAAGATGGTACTGCCTCCAACGGTCAGGGCAATCCTGTTAACAACAAACACATGAATACAAAATATATAAAAATTAAGTCTTTCTTTCGTTTGAGGGACATGTTGTATTAAGAAATTTGATCAAGATCAAAGCTGTCATCAGCGAAACCTTAAAAGCTCAGTGAAAATTTGGCCATAAAGAAAATATTATCGCTCTGACGAAGGGCTAACGCACGAAATGTCAACCATGAACTCTTTACGGTGGCCAATTTAGATTATCAACTCAGTTGATAATGCTTAATTACCCTGTTATACTCTCCCACCGACGCAGTACCATAGTTTCTTTAGAAACTTACCCCCTTCAAATATTATCCTTGATTTATTTGTAACATAATTAGAATATGATCTAAGGCATCTAATTCAATTTGTTCAAACCACCAAACACTTGTAGATAGATAGAAATAAAATCACAGCTCTAGATCTGAACTGGAAAAAAACACTTGACGAACGAATTTGAAGAATTTTAAAATAAGACCAGGCAAAAATTGGATACACGGGAAGATACTAGGTACTGTGCTCCCCCAAGCATAAAACATAGAGTACTTTTCGGTTGAGTGCGTAAAACCAAACCATTGTAACAACAACGGTCAAACAGAAGAAAGGGAAATACGTCTAACAGCCAATGAGAACTCAAAGTAAAAATAACCAGACTCCGTAAAGCGCGGGAAAACGCGGGCGACCAAGTTATGAATGATTTTAATTTCGAATCTGATTGGCTGAAAGAGAGTGACGCGAGTTTTCTGGACTAATCAGAGAGCAGAGTAAAGCAAAACCAATGCAGTCTCTGTTTATTTTCAAAACTCAATATAAAATTTCTAAATTAAGCGAACTGGTTTATAAAAACTTACAACTGCAAAATGACCGAGCACATGACATCTGTTACAGCGATCAAATGGCCGTCGTCTGGGCATCCTACAATCCTAAATGACAAATACAGTGTAACTTGTAATGTTAGACACGACTTTTTTTCGGATTTACCAACTTTTTTCATGTAAACAGAAAACAGATTAAGATTTATCTCTCGTAATTTCTAGGACTCAAATTTCCATCAGCAGAGATAGTACACGTACCTTTGACTTGTGACCGGGTTCACGGCAGTTGAAGCAGAGTTCATTCGGACAGAATCTCTTCACGTGTCCAGAACCTCCGCATAAGAAGCATACGCTGGTTTTCTATTCAATCACACAAGGAGCGTTAAGAATAAGTATAGGGTTAAGTTCGGTGAGAGTTTTCGCTCAGTGACCCACTACAACTAAGCTCATCTTGGTTTTTGTTCCTCTATGCAACTAGGAGTATTGCTACTCACCTTGGATGAGATACTGGTCCATCACAGGTTACCCCCACCCCCACCCCCCATTGCAAAAGCTGACAAGATTTCAATATCACATGAAAAGATTAGCACCCATGATTTTACATGGTACCATTTGCCAGCACTAAAATAATGTGATGAAAGAAGCAGCAATTACCAAATAGTCATGGAAATACAAATGGTCCATATCTTTCAGTCTGTTCAAACAAAAAAATCAAATGTATCTGAAAGGCAAATATCAGCTAAAGGTGTGTACCTTGGGTTCTGGACAAAATTGTGACAGGTGACCCTTTTCATTGCAATTGAAACACCTCATATGTGGTAGTTCCTTCCCGGGCGTGTAATATCTTGAACGTTTCTTGCCTCCTCTGGGGTCCTGGAGAAAACAGAGATTATTTTATGTAAAGTGCACGTGAACAATTTTCATTCACGAGTTGCGATGCATCGAAAAAACGAACGAATGAGTGCAGCGAACGAGACAGTTCTTCGATGCATCCCAACCAGTGAATAAAAATCGTTTGTGTGCACTTTCCATGGAATAACGTTCTTATTTCATACATATTAAGACTTTTTCACATTTCAATTCTAAGATTGGAAGCGAACGACTGTAAAAATGCATCGTTCGACCAGTCAGAGACAAGAATGATAGTACTTCACAGCGTGTATCTCAGTATGTATGAAATAAAATATAATCCTTAAAAGCAAACATCCCTTAACCCTTTACAATCTAACATCAGCAAGCATATTCTCCATACTGCTCCATACACATTTCCTAAGGTGCTGACAAGGAGAATTTGTTTAACAATCGAGAGCTTTTTTATTTGTTGAACATTACCTACATTCTCCTGACCTTAATGTGTAATTCAAGGCCGATTATTGTAAGACAAAATACCATGGGTTCAACTAACAAATGTTATCCTTTCACTCCCAAGATCTTAATAGTAATTCTCCTTACTGTCTGCTATACAAGACTTGTGATGTTAGTTTGGAGAATTTGTTATTGGATAAACTAATAATCCCCTAATTGATGTCTTTCTTTATTCTCATAGCTTGTCTGCTTGATATTGTATTGGTATTGTAAGGAGAAATTCTGTCTTGGTTGGTGATTGGAGTTACAGGGTTAAACATTAACTGCAAGATAAGATCAAAATAGTACAACACACCTCAAGGTCCCTATCAATCAAGTCCCAGTTTTCTGTGGAAAAAAGGAAAATATACAGTTCAAAAGACTGGCAGCCAATAATAATGAATTAATAGATGTATAATCATAAGTAATGGTAATGGACTGAATGGAGTCCAATTCCATCCATAATCATACAAATGATAATAGAATTGGACAACCATGCGGCAGGAGTCTGATTTGTTTATCACAAGTATGATTACAGTCCAAATTGGACAACACAAAGTCTTATTAGCAATTAAGCATAAAAATTACAATTTCCAATAAACAAAATCACTACTGTCTTCTAAAATATTGTCATTGTTCAAGGGAAAAAAAATTCTCCAATTTGAAGAAAGCCCCAATTTAAGAGTCTGTTCAGTGTTTCTAAGGTGATAGAAACCAAGGCTGTGATCAGTTAATTTATATTACAACTTTTCATGTGATTGGTTGATTTATACTACAACTTTTAAAGTGATTGGCTTTTTGACCTGTCCAATAACAAACTCTCAGATAACAAATTATCCAATAACAACTTGGCAAGTGAATAAGTGGAAAACAGGTGTTCTTTAAACAAATCAAAAATTGAGGAAATTGTAATTTTAATGATTAGCATAAATAACATGAGTAACAAGGGGTCTCTTGGCATAACACTGATGAATGGGGCTGAGTGCTTTTGCATACCTCCTGGAAAGGGATTTTTGTCCACTGTTTTTCAACAAAAGGGCTTAAGGCAATAGTCTCCTTCATAGCTGTTTTTGGGCTTGTTGTGCAAAGAAACTGGGCTGTAGGGGACATGTGATAACTTTGTCAGTTATGTCTTAGGGTTAATTACCTGTTATCTCCCCTTGCTCTCCTTTCTTCTTTTCAAGTGTTGAGTTCTACAACAGAAATAAAACATATCAGCACTATTTCGTACATGTACAATGTGCGCCATCTACAAACATATGTACATAGCACATACCATAATACTGCTGGGATAATGATAAGATCACTGAAGATTACATACAGCTGAAAGAGGAGTATATAACTTTGTGATCAAGATGACAGAGTAATTTAGTATTATCAACCGAGTTGAAAACATAAATTGGCCACTGTAAAGAGTTTCAAAGCTAACATATCAAGTGTTAGCCCTTAATCAGTGCAAACAACAAATGGCTAACACTCAAATTATCAGCTTTGAAACTCTTTACTGTGGCCAATGTACATTATCAACTTAGCTAGTAATACTTAATTACCTTGTTAAACTCTCCCACAGACATAGCACCACAGTTTCTTTATAAACTCACCCCTGCTTCAGATCTAGATGGTTTGCTCTTAAATGAATGTCACAGTAGAATCAACAGTGAATAAAATACCTTGCTTAGTTTGTCTTCTGAAGTTGGAACATTTTCATCAGGAAAGAGATTGACAATTTCTATAAACCAAAGGATATAAATATATGTCAAGTAACAGAACTTCACACATAATTGGTCAAGACAAGAACTACCTTCAGAAAACCTATGTATAAATCAGTAGCTGGTGACAGAAGAAGAATCAAATAAAAATGCAAAAAGGGCAGTGGGTTCCTGCCAAGAGAATGATATGAAATGAATTATTTCTGTAGGACACGTTATACTGAAAGTCTGAAAAGCTTTTATAATAAAAATAACAGTTCTTAGGATGCATTTCACAACTCCTAATACATTGACAAAAAAAATTAAGAAATATTTAATTAAAAAAAATTAGGAAAAAATACTTACTAGTAAATGCACATAAACACAATGTTTAAGAACCCAACAGGCAGGAGGCAGACTAGTTGGTTATATACAATGAGAGCAAAGGAGTTGAACCCAAGGCAACTGAAAACAAATCCACTGAATAGCAGAGTGGAGGGCTTGAACCTTAGACCATCAGATTACAAGACCAGCTCCCTAACCCCTCAACCACACTGCCTCCTTCTGACAGGGTAAGTTAATATTATCTACTGAGTTGATAATGTAAATTGGCCACCATAAAGAGTTTTAAAGCTGACATTTCTAGTGTTAGCCCTTCCTCCATTTGCTCTGATGAGGGGCTAACCCTTGAAACATCAGGTTTAAAACTCTTTACTATAGCCAATTTTCATTATCAATTCAGTTCATAGTACTAAATTACCCTGTTATACTCTCCCACCAATGCAGCACCACAGTTTCCTCAGAAACCTTCCCCACTTTATTCATTTGCCTCCCTCTGAGTCCCATATCTCACTCCCTATTTTAAGGAACTCTATCATTACTACTACTCTTGAAACCACATTTAGTTAAGTTACCTCAAGTTCTGGATGGAACAAAAAGGAACATTGTTTGAAAACTGTGCTTACAGTTGAAAAATACTAATTTCACAATCCAAAAACTAAAACACTTGACTGACCTCCTTAAAAATTACATCCTAACTGTTATCTTATGTTAATGACTTCTATACACTGTTTCAAACAAAAGTGTTTGAAAGCCCTAATTAATACTGCAACAATAGTACCTGCATAACTTGCTGCACAAGTGGAGACAACCCATCTCATATAAATCTGAGACCCAGTTACTAATAGGTAATAACATGATTTTGGGGGCAATTATTTGTTAATAAGCATGGGTAAATTTTTGAAAGACAACAACATTGCACAAGCCTGTAGAACGAGTGCAATTTGTAGTCTGAAAAATTTAAATGTGCTTTTTACACAAAAGTGCATGAGAAATGATTTTATGTTATTAATAATTTACATAAAAATAGCATCACAGAAAGTCAAGACATACGATTTGACAACATTTATGCTATTTGTAATTTGCACTCATGTCACAACTTTGCTTTTGTGTTGATGAAAATGCACTGGTTCTCAGCCAACCAGAGACACATAATTTTTTCATGTTTATTATTATCATGGTAAGGTGAATCAAGATAATGAAAGGCTCCTCTCTTTTTTTTTTCCTACATACCTGGATAGTTAAATGAAGATTTTAGATTCAAATTCTCCCATGTATTATTACTGTCCACCAAATCTCCACCTTCATTCTCATCATCATCATCATCATCACTGCCCTCATCCATGTTGTCATCATCATCACTGTCCTCTTCATTGTCACTGGAAATTTCAATCACAGAGTTGTCTGACTGATCCTTGTCTTTTTCAGTAACTGATTCTGAAACTACCCCATCTGTCCTCTTTGATGTTCTCTTATCTGAAACATCCAACAGCAAACTTTAATAAAGTTTCAATGACATAGACAATTGAAGATAAAATCCATTGTATCGTAATAGTTCAGTACAGTCTGACTGCAAACAATCTGGAAGTTTCCATCCACTGAGGTATATAACAGCTTAAGATCAACTGATACATTGCAAAAAATAAACAGTTACCCACAGTTAGGGTACATCAGTGACACATTTGCCCGAACCTTGTATGCCACTTTTTAGTTCATGCCATATTTTGGCATCATCTGTGATCTATTACCAGACAGATGCAAGGCAACATGAAATCTATTAGTAGATTAGAATCTACTAACCCTTTACACCCTAACATCAGGATGTGTATTCTCCATACTGTTTTCTGTACATTTCCTAAGGGGCTAACAAGGAGAATTTATTCAACAATCAAGAGCTTCTATAGTTGGAAACCATTTCCTTTACTCTTGTGACCTTAATGTTTGATTCAGGAGTGATATGCTAAGGAGAAATTAGATGCCGGTCACTCTTTAAGGGTTAAAGGGCTACTGGAATCTACTGTCCCTATTATAGGATGGTAGCTCGTGATGTTGTGATCTGGCCTTGATTCTGAAATTGTGGGCATCTACAAAATTTCCTTCAAAAATTGTGAAGTGCTCAATGCAGTCTAGTCAAAATCTCCCACAAAGTGTTGTAAAGTGCAATTAGCCAATGGATATGTCACTATAGAAATCCTTTATTATCATTATTATTTATTAAACAGATATCAATTTGAGAAGTTCATACCTGGAGTGGACTTCTCTGATACCAATAGAGAAGAAGCGTAATGCACATGGCTATAGATTGTCTCTTCTATTTCACTGTCTGCATCATCTTCACTTCTACAAAAGTGTAACAAAGCATTATGTCAAATTCATTTACATTCAATTAGACTGAATTTTGCTAAAATATCAGACTCATTAAAATTCAATATTTTCTTTCACAAGTAGTCTTAATTCTTTCATTTGCAGATCCTATAAATAATTCTCCTTACTGTCTGTCATACAATTCTTATATGATCTTTGTTTGGAGAATTTGGTATTGGATCAATTAATAATCCTCTAATTGATATCTTTCTGCTTGATATTACATTGATATTGTGAGAAGGAGAAATTATGTCTTAGTCACTCATGGAAGTTGAAGGGTTATAAGCAACACTAACCCAGAGGAAGAATGCTCCCCATACAGCTGATCCTCATATGCTTTGTAAGCGTCACTGTCAAACTCATCATCACTGCTCATACCTTAAAGAAAAATTTGTTATAGCAACTCTAATGAAATGTTAATTCATCAAGAATAAGGATATGTCTGAGGGGGGAAGAGGGAGTTTCTCACATGTAAACAGTCTTACTGGGGTGCATGTAAGTTCCATACCTTTTTTTAAAAAAAAAAAAAATTTTCAATAGTGCTGATATTTCTATTGCTATATTTATCATCATAACACATTGTAACTCACAATAAAGTTTTGGTCTATGCCTAACTCAGTGTTAAACTACCCACACATTCTAGCCTTGCTGACTTATGCCATAAGGCTCTAGCTTCAGCAATCTAACAACACCTGTCTTTTTTTTTTAATACTCTGAAAATTTTTATTATTTGCTAAGATCTCATGATCCAGTTTTAAATGTGAATGACTGTATTTATGGCTTTGTAATGTTGAATAAGGTTGTCACTGAGTGATTAAATTAATTCATTAATTATTGGGTGAATCACTACCAAGTTATCAATGTTTCAATACTTAAATATGCATTATGCAACAGTTTTGGATTGAACAAGGAAATTAAATGCATACATCACCCCTTCTAGTCTACTGGGAGTCTTATCATACCGACGTTGAGCATTTGTTTATAGTTTGATGATAAATGCACTCTTACACGCTTTCATTTGTGGAAAGACGATCTTCAATAACTGGCGTGAAATCTCACAGGTTTCAGTTGAGATCATGGACATATTTCACGTGACAGAAACTATTTTGTAAATATTTAGATAGGATGGAGTGATAATGGAATGACTGTTCGATTGGCATTGTGTAAACACCCAACACACCAATGACTGTTCGATTGGCATTGTGTAAACACCCAACAAACTGTAATCACTTTTTGTAACATAACGAAGAAAGAGCAAGAAACATTAGCTTATAAAAAACAAACTATCCGTATAGTGCAATAATATGGAAACGAATTGTGTATCTTGACCGGAAAGTTAAATTTAATAGCTCCACAAAAAGCACTATTTCGGACGTGAGGTCTGATTTACCCCATTTCCCACTTCCGGAATAATTTCTAATTCTTTAGGAGAGTTAGAAAATAACTGATCATCAAAATAGAAGAGACACAGTTTGGATTTCACTTACCTTCCCCAGTTGTAAGCTAAAATAGCAAATATAAAATCATCTATATCCTAAACGAGAGTCTACTCTGATTTCTGTCGGTGTTATGTCGCAACGTGCACCTCAAAATGTCTCAGGCGTTGCACACTAAGAGTGAGTACGCCATGTATTTTCTCATGGATTGTTCCGTTGTATCAATCTTTGAAAAAGGTAATTCTTACTTGAAGGAAAACCTCTTAATATTTTCTTCCTTAAAAATATTATAAGTTTTTTGCTAGTCTATTGTTTTTGGAACACTGAAAATTTCAAATGAAACAAAACGATTTTTGTAGTTATTGTTATATGAACAAACAAGTACTAAAGGGAACTCTCTTGAGCCCGCACAACACACAACATGGCGGGTGATCGAAAAAGCGAGCAAGAACGTTTCGAAGAAGAAATAGATTTAGAGGTTACCTTCAATGAGTTCGACGATGAATTTTCAGAGTATAGTGAGAGAAAATTAGACGAAACTGAGGAAAACGGCCGAAAAGACTCAAAACAAGGGGAATATCCAAACAACATATTTTTTAACGACGCTTGTAATCTTCAAAATGAAACTGTCAAAACACATAGCGTTACAAATGGAAACCACGCCGAAGATGTGCTAAATATGGGAAGGTCAGAAGAAGGCGAAGTTTTTAGTTCGAGTGAAGACGAAGGTGGAGAGAAAATGGATTTTGATGAGGAACTAGACAATGACCTGAAAGCAGTCACTACGGCGAATTTCACGTCTGGTGGAAGTAACATCCAAGGAACACTTGAAACAACCACTTTTAAGTTTTTACCTCCTGATTCAGGTGAAGGAGAGGGAAGTAAAATAGAAACTGCATCGCAAGAGTTAATAAAAGATACGGTTAGGAGTGTTGATGTAACAGAGAGAGAAATACTTTCAATGGAATCTGATAATTCAGTGGATGATCAGAGTTGGAAGAGACATAAACGGGCCAGATTGGAACTGGAAAGCCAAGAGAATTCTGTGGAGAGGAAAAGAGAGGGAAAAGGTGAATAATAGAGAGTGGTGAGCATACTTACCTATCCCTACCAACATGGTTAAACATTACCTGCTGCAAACAAAGCTGAAGGAAACTCGAAAACGTTCAAAGAAACTGCACAGTCAAATAGTGAACCCTTTACACCCTAACACCTGTATCCACATTCTCCATACCCCTCTCTATGCATTTCCTTGGTACTGACAAGGAGAATTTGTGTAACAATCAAAGTATCTTAGGTTGGCAGTCATTTTCGTTATTCTTGTGATCTTCATGAATGATTCAGCAGTATTAGAAACTGGTCATTGTTGCAATTTAAAGGGTTAAAACAGCATACCTGTAGGTATGTATTGGTCAAATGCAAAAATAGCTCTCTTCTTTCCCCCCCCCCCCCCCCAAAAAAAAAAAAAAAAAAAAAAAAAAGAAAAAGAAAAAAATTCTCTCAGTTATCTGTTACATTTATATTAATCCTTCTTGCCCATTCAAAAGTCTCCTGGATATTAAGTAAAAATTTAATCTCTTGGTCTCTCCAATAGTTAGCTAATTATCCTGGTTTGAAAACAGTAGAAATCACGAAAATTTTATATCCATGGAATTTCTTTATTAACCCTTTGACACTTAAAACGTGAATAGCATCTAACTTCTCCTTACAATATCACCTCTAAATCACACATTAAGGTCAAGAGAATCAAGTAAATGATTACCAATTAAAGAAGCTCTTGAGGCCGCTAATTAGTGATCATATAAAAGGACCTCTTGTTGCAGCGTTTAGATCACCCCTGATGAAGGCACTAGACAGGAGTGTCGAAACGTTGGGTCTATGAATTGTAACTTCTTCGGTTACATTCATTAAATCTGCAAACCAGTGTAGCTTCAAACTATGTCTGATTGTCCACCTGGTTGCCGTGTGAACTTTAATATATTTTAAAGCTCTTGATTGTTAAATCAAATTCTTCTTGTTAGCACTTCAGGAAATGTATTGAGTGCAGTTTGGAGAATATGCATACTGATTCTAGGGTGTTAAAGGTGAACTAACAGATGGTTGTATTGGCAACATTTGTTTTATTTTGCATTATGTATGTCCAATTTTCTGGCCCTGTAATTGTGAGGAGAGACTTGAATGGAGAGGATGTTATTAGTATCTCTGTTCTGAGCTGGCCAGATCTGTTTTTTTAAACCATTGAACACTTTACAACTTAGGATCAATGAGTATATTCTCCATACTTTTTTCTATACATTTGCTATGGTATTGACAAGGAGAATTTGTTTAACAATCAAGAGCTTCTTTGGTTAGTGATAATTTCCTTGATTGTCATGGCCTTAATGTGTGATTCAGAGATGATATTGTAAGGAGAAATTAGATGCAAGGCACTCTTAGGGGTTCTTGCTGATCTGTTAGCTGACAGGTGATCAAGGAATAGTGGAGGAGAGCTGTGCTTCACAATCACCAATATTTTTTACAATACCATCATAGTGTGCTTGATTGATGGCATGTCTTTGTACATTTTGTAGATGGTGAACGAATGAAAAGAAGAGGAGGTAAAAAGAAACGGAAAAGACCTGTTGGTAACCATTATGATGGAGGACGACATCATAGAAGCGATACCCAGGAGGACCCAAAGTTAGGAAATCTGTTTAAGCCCTTAAAAGTTACTGCAGAAGATTCTGAAGAGGTTGTTGCTAAAGAAATAGCATGGAAACTAAATGAAGTAAGTACTGTAGTTGTAAATGATTCAGTTAGTGCTGTTAGTGTTTTAGACAGGTACAGAGAGGTTCAAAAGCAAGTCAATTTAGCATTAGCGAGGTGTTCCTTGATTAAATTATCCTTCTTAAAACAAAAGTTATTGTGTATCAGTCGAATGCTTTTTAGAACAAGCCTTGACTAAGTTCCAAAAGCCTATGTTACAACCAAGATTTTTGATTAGAGAGCAATTTTTTTCATGCAAACAAGAATATTATCTGTCTTTAGATCATGAACCTATGTATCTTTCTAGGCTTGGTTAGCTTAATTTTCACCATAGTACCTCTCCTTTAGTGCACTTCTTTTCAAGGACACCTTCATTCAAGCTACATGTAAACAGACTTGAGATATAACCAGGACTGACCATAGAAATAAAGTAACATATAATGGTGAAAAATATTAGGGCATGTGAAACCATTTAGGATAAGAAGTTGTAAGAAGTACACTCCATATGATACTTGCATTTAGTCCTAGACATTGATGAAAATCTTTAGTTCCTCTTGTAAAAAGTTCCTCAAAAACTTTGTACTCATTACATGAACCATTATTGAATTTAAACCTTTAGTGAGGGAAAACTTTTCTAGTTCCTGTGTGAAGTGTTCTCTAAATGAAAGTTTGAGAGGCCTGTTAGAGAGCCTTCCTGATCTTGCTGACAGGCTATTCTGTTATGTCATGATGAACTAGATGTACATCTGGCTCAGTGTATTTTTCTTTTGCATTTTTACGACAGACAAAAACAAATCTCATTCAGCGAGTTGTCAGTTGCATTGGTTGTGAAAAAGCACTCAAGCTGTTTAGAGACACAAAAGAGGTTCAACTGCATGGAGGGATGTGGACAAAGGACAATCAGCGAAGGTAAACTATTTGCTAGTCATATGTAAAAAATCAAAATCACTCTCAGTCTCCTTTAAAGCCATCAGTTTATTTTGAACCCAACTCTTGTGTGTTACTCAGGTTTTTTTCCTTCTATGTCACTGTCTCAAGACAGTCAATTAAATGTAATATTTCCTGTAATTCAATCAAAGTGCTATATTTTTTTTTCCTCAAAGGGAAATTGAAGGGAACTTTTCCCAGGAAGGGGCATAGTAGAGACACTTTCCTGTGAAGGGACAATGTAAGGACACTTTTTCATGAAGGGACACTTGTCCATGAAGGGACATTGTAGGGACACTTTTCCAGGAAGGGACATTACAGGGACTCTTTTTTAATTTTTTCTAAATTAGTGTCAGTTTTTGTTCTGTAGTTTGTTTTCAGTTGGAAGAAACAACAGTTTCATCATTACACATGTAGTTAATTATATCAGCCAACCCTTAAACTCCCATGAGCAACCAAGACAGAATTTCTCCTCACAATATCAATACAAAATCAAGCAGACAAGTGATGAGAATGAAGAAAAATATTGATTAGATGATTATTAGTTTTTCCTATACTTAATTATCCTAACTAACATCATTAGAACAGACACTGAGGATGTGATCTTTGGAGTGATGGGGTTAAACCCAAGTCTTGTGTTGAAATCTGTTCTCAAAGGAATGTGGTAAAAAATCTGGTAACTCCGCAACTCTGACCTTTTACTTTGTTTTTCATAGGCGTACAAGTGGAGGGGTATTTTTGGCGATTCTTAAAGATAGATACGTCTCTAAAGAACAAAACAAGTGGATTTTCGCGGTTGAAAACGAGATCAATAAAAAGAAAGCAAAAGAACAACAGCAAAGACTGAAAGAAGTTCAAAGGAAAGATATAGAGGACTTGAGAATGAAATTAAAACAAAAAGATCAGGAGTAACTCTCGGTGTAAAGTCTTATCTGAGAGAAATGAGCGAGAAGCCGCCTAAATTTTTGAATATGTGTACAGCCACTTCAAATGATTTGACGTACTGTGAGGACATGTAAGATGATAGCAAAACGATTAAAAATGAGGTGAACTTATTGTTGGCAGGTATGAGTTCAAACTTCTGTGAGAATTAGCCTTTCCTTTGGCGTGACTGTGTGTTTGAAGAGCTTACCGTAGCCTCTGTCGAGATTACGGCAAAAAAATTTTCTTTTATTTCAACGATTGGGCCCACTTTCCTCTCCGAAAACGCTCTTCGAAGTGAAATTCGCAACTTCTACTTCTAGAAGACTACTAGCCATCCCTCCATCATACGAGTTAAAAAAAAAAGAAAAAAAGCGAAAGAAGGAAGAACGTGCGCCTTTCTCCCAGAGTTCCGCGCTGCGCGTCAACAACAATTTCTACCGCGCGACGGACTTCGCCAAAAAAGGGGGAACTGGTAGCAAAAACGTTTGGCTGACTTTTTTAAGCAGAAAGAATTGGGATGAACAATAAAATTCTACCAATGTGGATAAGAGAAGGGAAGGGTGTTTCCCCACCGCCTTTCCCTTTTGTCACTCTCCTTGTCTTGTCACCCTACATCAAACATGACGCTTGAACTGCCAGCTTAAAAGGCTTGATAACAAGTTTAGGACCTTTATTTCTTTCTGAGATTAAGGAAAACTTGCCAGCTATTTTGGACACTACTACTCCAGTGTGTTAAACAAAATCACATCGCGCTTAGTTAAACATTGGGATCATGAACAAATTACACCAGCACGTAAGATACACGCCCTTTAATTGTCAATCCCATTAATTAGTTTAATTTGAAACTATCATAAATATCAAATTAATGATAATTGTAACAAATCTTAGCACCCAATTTGCCTCTTTCCTCGATTACTCGCTTAATTAGTGTATTTTTCCTAGCACCTCTGACAAAGCAAATTTATTTAAGTACATTTCAAAAATAATAAGAATGTTATATTCAAACTGTATTTACTGGAAAGGACTCACAGTGGAACGACTTCCGTCCAAAGGAGAAGACAACAACTAAAACAGACTTTAAATGGTTTATGGGATAGTTGAATTTAATGAAAGAAATAAGATGAATTCTTTACTTGTGTTTTTTTTTTTTGCTTTGGTTGTGGTTGTGGTTGTTTTGTTTTGATTTTTTAGTCTTTTTCGTCGGTAGTATCGGCTGTATATGGTTGAAGTATTTGCACCGTTATAAAAAAGTCCTGATCACATCACCTCCTCAAATCATGGAACAATGATTTCACGTTAGACCAACTTTAGCAAGCAATCCAGGGTGCGTTGGTTTTCACTAGGAGGCTCTGTGTTGGGCAAACTCGCGCCCGTCTCTTAACCAATCAGATGTTAGACCAAAACCAATCGCGAATTGGTCGCTCGCGTTTTCCCGCGCGTCAGTAGTTCGGTTCATTTTACTTTCAGATGCCATTGGCTTTTTGAGATATTTCCCTTAGGTCTAATTGGCCAATGTGATAACTTGGCTGTAAGGCAATCAGTCAAAAAATGCATTATAGGAACATTTTGGTGAGCGAAACTGATTTGGAAACGAAATGGTGCGAGTGTCTCGCATCGTTCGGCAGCCACAAAGACCTCATTGATGAAGGAATGAAACACACACACAAACAATAATGTGTTTTGCGCCCGATAGCTGTCCTTTATCATGCCTGAGCATCATTTTAAATACACAAATTAGACGCTTAATTCCTTAGATGTGGCCAGTCACTCTTGAAGCAACCCAACCCAGAACAATCTGCGCGATAAAGCCCTGCCAATTGTTCCTACTGAGAAATAATTCACAGGACTGTTGACATTGACTAAACCGCCTTATTCGTCCTATTTCATGACTGATGCCAGACTGGTCTTATTAGAAATCATAGTTACCATTAGCCTTGATTTTCACAATGATCCTGCATCGAAAAATCGCGATATTGCAACGACCAATAAATCTAATTTCAAAATAGCAAAATTCTACGAAGAAACTGTTGATCAAGCTTCAATGTGACCGTCTAACCCATATAGTAAGATGTACATTTCTCTCTCTAGACAACCAGTGTACTTACACTCACCTTATGTAATAAACGTTTCCTTGAATAATTTCTAATTTCACTCTGTTATATACTTACAAATATTTTTGAAAAATATTTCACGGAACTTAAGCAGATATACTGTAAGTGCACCCACAAATAGCTCTCTATTCTGCTGAATTCAAGTTCGTCCTTGAAGCGTTTACGAAGCTTCCGATTCCTTCCGTTTTCATTTTCTTAAGGCGTTGAACGACGTCAACAGTCTCGTCAAAATAATGGACAAGATAAGGCTCAGTGGACATAGAAGCCAGTAATTGTTCAAAACAAATCGACCAATGAAGGTCGATGGCACCGGGCGAAAGTCTATCGTTTGACTGGTCAGTATCTAACGCACCTGACAACGGTCTGTCATTTGATTCGTCTGTATCTAATGTCCCGGATGAATGTCTGTGGAGTGATTGGTTTCCAATTGCCGTCCCGGAAGAAGAGCTGTCATTTGATGGGCCTTTACGTTCATCAAAAATGCTTTCGGGGTAGTGGCCTTCTTTGACAACAAGCAATTCTTTGAAGTCTTTTTCATTAGAATTTCTACTTTGATTAGAGTTTTCACCTGTCGAAAGGGGATCACTATGACTCAGTTTGTTATAAACCTCGTGTAAAGTATCTTGAGTGTCATTCTCTTCGCACGTTACAGCTTCAGGTGTACTAAACCCCTCGTCGCTGCCCACGAGAATAAAGTCATCTCCCGCTGCACTTCTCACAGGACTACTGAGCGAAGATTCACTGCTCCTGGCGGCATCAATCAGTTCTTCCTTTACTAAAGTCGACGATTCAAGTTCTGACGTTACAGTTATTTCGCTAGGTGTACTTAACACATCTTCCGTGTTTGATGTCGATGTTTCAAATTCTGCTACGTGAAGTGGGTCCATGAACCGGTCCAGATCATCGCTCTTGGACTGCTGACCAGTGGTTTTGTCTCCACTAGTGTTCAACTCTCCTCCAAATTCCCCCAGCTTAAGCAAAATGTTGCCTACTGATGCAATGGCTTGATACATCTGTTGTTCATTTGGCAGCTCACGGAAGAGCGAGTACATAGTTTTCCACAACAAAATAAAATTTCCCTTCAAAAGAAAAGATATCACAGCTTGAGAATAAATATTTTCCGTTGACGCGTGAAACATAGAGGCCAAAATAAAGTAAAAAAAAAACAAAACAAGAAAATATTTAGGGCACCGTTGGCAGGCTTACTATTATGTGTGGAAGGGTGGCCTAACATTAAGCGCGCTAGACTACGAATCGAAAGGATTGGGTTCGAGACCTGGGGCCTGTTTCTCGAGGGTTCTATTAACTAAACGAGCCCGGAAAGCTGTTCTGTTTTCTGCGAAGATGGGGCTTTGAAGAGGTTTGAAAATTCTACAAGAAAACTATCAGGCAAAGTAAAAAAATGGAGTGGTTAGAGTGCCAGAGCCTGCTTCTCTAGTCTTTAAATTTTAATTACAGAATGTGGGTTCGGGCCCGTAAAGTTGCCGGGACTTCCGAGGAACGAGCCCTTGGCCGGGTCGTTGTGCTGAATACTGAAGCAAAACACCTCATTCTTACAGTGCCTCTCTTGGTTCAGAGGCTTAACTCTTTACACCCTGACATCAGTTTGCATATTCTCCATACTTCCTCTAAACATTTCCTCACTTGCTGACAGGGAGAATTTATTTAACAGTCAATAGCTTCTTTAGAGGGTGATCATTTCCTTTATTCTCGCGACTTTGATGTGTGATTCAGGGATGATATTGTAAGGAGAAATTAGATGCTCGTCACTCATACAGGTCAAAGGCTTAAACGAGTGCTAGCGAAACATCAGAAAAGCCTGACGAAATACTTGGGGGGTGGAGTAGCCTAAAGTCCACTTTCATCCCGTCCAGGGAGGGAGGAGGGGGTAGGTTATTATATTTCTTGTCGATTTGTGTTTCGGAAACCGAGATAACCTCCGGCCAGATGGCGTACTTGCCTCGAGAATAAACTAAATCTTTACTCTGGTAACTTATGCAGCCACTATACCAGATACTTCTCATGTTACGTGTACTGTCGATTGCCAGAGCGTTGACACCTCAAAGGCATATTCCGTGAACGATAAGACCCAACAGCTTTATGGGAGATATTCGCATAGTTACGCAATCAGTATTCATGGAAAATCTCTGTTGGCTTCTATCATTTACCACATGCAACTAACACACCTTATTGTGTTTATCAGGTACATTTGTACTTATGAAGCTATTGGGCATCACCGTTCACTGCCAAGGCCTTTAAGGAATCAACCAATATGCAACCAAGTGTACATAAAACAAGAAGCTTGCAGTTCGAACAATGACTCAAAAATTGACTCAAAGAACCTTCATTTTACCTGACTCATTCGTGGTATTTCACTGCCTCTCTTTTCACTGTCTTCATCAGTCAGAGTTCTATGACTTCGTGCGACTGTTTTCAACGAAACACTCACGGGTGACTCCTCTTTAGTGCGAACCCTCGAGACGCACTCATCAAGTGGCGGGAGCTGATCAACTGACTGCGTCGTCATGTCCTCAACACTTTCACCTTCAGTAAGCTCATCACAGCTGTCTACTGACTCTTCATCGCTAACTTGCGCAGTGTCGTCGTCGCTCAGGGCGGGAGGGACGTGCATGCGGTACATGAACTGCATACGATCTTGGAGTTCACCCTTACAGATAATACCCAGCCCTTGCGCAAACTCGCGGAAACTAATGAGTCCGTCTTCATCTCGATCAATCACCTTAGCATGGAAAACAACAAGCAAGACGACGATAAAAATCATGTCAAAAGAGAGCCGCATTAAAGAACATTTTCCCAAACGGAATATTCAGAGAAGTTTTAAGCCCCATCCACACCAAAATGGACAGAATATTCCCTCTGGAAACGCTGTTAAGAGTATTCCGTTCACTACGGAAGACGGGTTAAAAGTTTACCGTTCACACAATAAGCAGCGAATGAAACGCTTCCCGGCATTCCCAGATATCTTTAAGCACTGACCTTGAATGCTCGCTGAGTCAAGATAGGACCAATCTCCCCAGTCCCCCAGTTCGTAAGGCACTTAAATAGAGGCGCGAATCTCTCGCAGTCGATACACTGATTCTGTATGAGCGGAAACTGGGGCGGAGTATCCTTACTCTCCGGGTTGCCATGATTACGCGTCAGAATGTGTCCTGCCTGGAAAGTCAATTTGCACAAGAAACAAGGTGAATGACAATAGGAGATTTGTAGAATGCTTACAAAGTCTTGAGTTTTCTGTCTATATACTACAAGCGATACGAGCTATGAGCAAAGTACGCAAACGAATTGAATCTCGGTTGATCTATCCAAAATTGGGTTATCACTCCACTATCATTTCATTTACTGGTTTTCGAAATGCATCCTACGGTATCACCCGAGAATCGAATCGATCGCAAAAGGCGTAATCACATACAGGCAACCCTGAAGGAAGTAAACAAATCAAAGTTTTGTGCAGCTGTTTTGATGCTCCGCTTTGATCTGAACTTTTCCTATATTCAATGTATACCGTTCCCAATTTGCACTTTCTTTTGCCCTGATATGGTAAAATGAAGCAACAGTGGAATAACAGATACATATGCTGTATTGGGTCTTTTAAATCAAGAACTCCCCTTTAGAACACCTCTATTCAGGGGACACTTTCCTTGGTCGCAGGGGTGCCCCCTGCAAAGATGTTCCAATGTCTTCTGTCTTTGTTTCTCTCTAGTGACGAGTAACTTGATAATCTAGCTTAAGATTAAGAATCATCATTTCTATCGTCATTGGACGCTTTTGACTCTGCCAATCCTGGAAGGGGACAGACTACTTAAAAACGGACTACCTCGTAAACGAGGTCAACGAGGTCGCTGATCTCAGCTGGGAGAGAATGCAGACAAAATATGAATTGGAAGGTTTAATTCTTCTCCCTACCTCGTACAATACATTTTGAACAGATTTTTTACCTCAGTAGCAAATTTATTGTTTTTAACATTCATGACTATTGATGTAGACTTACCTTGAAAACAGCATACAATTGTTCCAGTTCCTTTTGCTCAAACAGACAGGTTTCCACTCCCATGGATCTCACAGCATTTCTTCTCATACTGTCCTCGAGGCCCTGATCAGCACCAGAAGAGAAATAAAAAATTTAACCTGAGATAAATCTATTTTCAATTTCATGCATACTTCACAAAATTTTGCACTGTGCTTATTTCTTAACGCCTCCGACTAACCGTTTTTTTCTTAACTGAATCGGGGACAACAATCGCGATAAATCACAATTGTACTTATCAAATAAGACAGAAATATATGAAACATATGTTTTAGCTCACAATGTCTCGCTTTTTCGATATAAATTTAAAAACTGCCGTGGCGCGTCTCCATACCTGAACAACTTTTAGTCTCTGTGCATTTCTCATGGAGTCAATGGTCTCTGCTGTGATGAAGCCAAACTTCTGATATGATTCCAAAATAAGGTTGGCTACATCCACTGTGCTGTGGTACTAAAAGGAAAAAAAACTATCAAATATTACTTGACTGCTTTCTACCCCTGTGAGAATTGGCTCATTTTGAACATTTCAAATTCAACGTAAAACTTAAGACCTTTTAACCACAGATACGGACGCGATACATTGAGGGACAATCCGAAGCGACTTGCTTTTGTAACTTCGAGCATCGCACAAATTCAAGCCTCTTTTAATTTGTGCAACTTGCTACGGACACGAAATTCCGTCACAGAAAAAGGAAAATTGATAGAAATCATCCTCCTCCCCCTTTCCGTTCAAACGACACGAATTCTAGCCATAACTTGAACCCAGGACATATCACAGCAAGGTGTCTCGCGGCTCTAACACTGATCCTAAATTTACCACAGAAATTACGTAACTGTGGCATTTAATTCAAGATTAGAATTACTCGTGCTTTGGACCAAAGCTTTCGGGAATTAACCTGCTACCTCTGATTTCCCAAAACTGCAAAATATCGAAATTGGGCGACAAAATTTTACCTCGTCCAATATCAAACCAGCAACAATTTCACAGGCTTTCATGAACTAATAACAATTACTTATCCTTTTGTGAACCTTCTGCGCTTTCATGGACTAAAGTGAAATACTTAAACAAGGCCAGTCTGACAAAGAACCCTGCGCGTGCGTGATAATGCAAGAATGACTCATTACTGCATTATCACCTCTCTCGCACAGAAAGACGAGTTTGCGACAACAAAACGTTTGTGATGGACAATGAAATAGTTTTCGTTTTGAATATAAAAATTGTTTTGTTGGCAACATGTTCTTCCAAGTAAAGTTCCCCCCGTGATGTACAAACTGGGTTCTTTCTGTGATGGTCATTTGAAAAGTTATTAATAATTACTACAGAAATTCTGAATTTCACACCATTCCCTCCCCAATCCCCAATACAATTACCCCAGAGGAAGGCGATCCATTGTTTTTGTTGTAACCTCCTTGGTAATTGGTCAGCGTGGTCGCGTCCCTGTTGGTCACGTGCTCCAGGTAATTCCCTAATACCGTCATTGCCTCACCATCGTCTCGGACAGCTAAAAGTTTGTTTCTGTTTGCGTCAAGTGTAGCCAAGGCAATCTGAAACAGTACCTGGAACAAGATCGTTTTTTGATGGTTGAACTCACGAGAAGATGGAGAGGTTGCAATGTAAGTAAGCTTTGAGTTGCAAGCTCTTGACTCAGTTCTTCTTGTTTATCAACAGGATAAAAAAGACGACAAAATAGAATAAAATTTAGGATCACTACCCATCTCGAAAAACTATCAGAATCATTTTTCCTCTAACGCATATGGAGAGAAACTCACGAGTTCACAAAATCAAAAAAAATTTTTTTTGTAAGTAACAATGGAGATCGCTCAGAGATGAACAATAGATTCTAATAAAAGATCAGTTGAAATGAAAAAATGTTTATCAAATAAAGTGAGTTACAGGTTTTATACCACTCAGAAGACAAAACGTCCTCTTTACCTTGGTACCGTCATAGAAAAAGCAATCTATGATGCTGACAGCACTGGTAAATGGCATGACACTGAAAACAACAAGAAAAACACAAGTGTCTTATCAGAAAGGAAACAACACGTCCCAAAATAGATTATCTTAACAAAACCACCAACATCGCTAGCTTAATTGAATTTTATAAATTAAAGTATAAGTAAAAGAAATTGATTTCTAATCGTCACCCGCAATTACAAAAGCCCTCGCCCATACCATGGGATTCGAATTAGGATCTACGGAAAAATTTTATATACACCGTGTTTTGAAGGTAGTTGTGACGCAACATTCAACACCTTTATTTAATCTAGCCTTCAAATAGTTGTTCTAGCCCCATACCCCCCTACTCACGCTGGTTTTTGTAACGAAAAGTCATGGGAAGCAGGGTGTTTGGAGGGGGGGGTGGGGGAAAGAGTAAAGCAGCAAAGTGAATGGGTCGTGGGTTGATATCAGGTGCGTTGCAGGTCGTGACAACATCTGCGGGATGATTACAACGGGAACGGTCGCTTTTTATTAACCTGTAACACTCAAGGGGTGGCATCCCAAAAAAAACTTTCATTCGCAAAGTCATATTTCAACACGTTGGCACATAATTTATCAGCCTGAACTCCGCTACCAGGGAAGATGGGCAAGCTAAACTTTAAACCAAAGTTACCTGAGGAAGAGTGTAAGAAACCAAGACAGAGAGATCATGTTAAGAATTCCAAGTTCCATCAGGTGATCATACAACTCTGGCAAGTGATCACGGGTAAGGTCCTCGAACACTCCTGGAGGACACAAAAAGGTTTAGAATACCAACACTTTATCAACAAGAACCATAAAACGAAAAAATAAAGTAGTTAGACAATCACCTTGATCAACAAGAGCTCCAACAACTCTTGTGTTATAGTAATCTGGCAAAAGACGCTCACAAACCGCCACTAACAACCAGAAAGCTTCTTCTTCTGTGCAGTATAACAACAGCACTGATGCTACAATATTCATGGCTTGACAATACCCTGGAGGTTACACGACATGCAAAGAACGTAAGCTGATAGCAGGTTTGAGAAGTCACTTAAAATTGGATACCTCTGCAAATGTACGTCTACATACAAACCTATGCTTGGGTTTCTCCAGGCGTAAGATGTCAGAACTCTCCGCAAAGCTGCTATTCCTACTTCAGACTGGAAGGCAGGGTGTTCAGGAAGTGACCTACAGCGGGCAGATGATTTACAGCTTAAAATAGTTTGTACCATATTGAAAACGTTAGTATCACAGTAGAAGAACAAACAAGATCAAATTTGTTTTTCTTTTCTGTAGCGAAACGCTCTTGCTGAGCGTTTTTTTTCTTTTTACACCCACCTGTGTAGATCTCTTTCGATCTCCTCCGTTGCCAAAGTGGTTTTTCCCTCGCACTCCTCCACCAGTGTGGCATAGTAACCAGGGTGAGTTTGAATCTGTTCAGATTGAGACAAAACACGTTTCCTTCATATTCAGCATATGACCTTTTCGATCTAACCCGTACCAGTCTCCCTTAGGGCTTCCATATATTTCCTAGTGGGTTAATTGGGATAGCTTGCTCCGCGATAAAGACAACACCATCTGGCTAATTAGCCTGACTGTTCTCAGACCCTGTTGTCTGTTTATTTAAACAAAGTTTACAAGTTGTTTATTAAACCTGTGTCCTAAAAAATCCAAAATTTACTGAACCTTTCAGCCGAACTTTTATTTTTGTAAACAGTGTAAAGAGGGCTAATAGCTATCAGTGGAAAGACATGAATTCAATTCAATCAAACCTTTTAAAGAGAAAGGTTGACGCCCACTGATTGCGTACAACCGTGGTTTGTGTTAGACTTCGTGTAAATAACCGGTCCTGTATCTTTGGTACTGATCATTTTCAGAGAATATAATGAATGGCTATGCATGGGTCAGCGCTTTTCGATTGATTGCCGAACTCTTTAACTCCCATGAGTGACCAAGACAGAGTTCCCCCTTACAGTGTTTGATTGTGTTCAGTTTAGTTTTGAATCTGATTGGTTGAGAAAGTGGAGCAAGTTTTCCCGGCCAATCGCTATCGCTCCCGGATACTTTTGGACACATACTCCATCAAACAGGGAGATTACTAGATAATCACTTCTGGTAATGTAACAGCTGAGCTTAAGACAAACGAGACCTTAAAAGTAAACATCTATTGACAATCTGAATCCACCAATCTTCACTGGTGTCTGTACTCTTTCTAGTCTCCCTTGCAGCCGTTGCTTAGTCTCGTCACGCAGCGCGTAATCTCTAACAGGGTGAAGGGGGAGAAAGCGCGTTGCGTGACGAGATCAACGGCTGCGAAGGACACTAAATTCTTTTTTTTTTTTTGGCCTTATTACAAATGATTGGTTAAAGAATAAATTCAATTAAAGTACTGGCCGCCTAGAATAACAATTGGATCCAGCGAAGCTAGGCAGCCAGAAAATAGAATATAAAATTGTTATCACAAGTCAAATATATCATCTGAAAAACGCGTCAACCCCTACATTTGTAGCGACTTGTACCTGATTGATAGCACCAGAGAATATTAGCCATACTTCCGCCCTCAGACTGTCAGGAACGCCTTTGAGTATCAAATCCTGGGTCTTGACAGTGCGATACATACAGACACCCCTGAAAAACGCCAATAAAGTTTAACGACCCGCTAAATTGACTAATCATATATATATATATCATTATCTAACCAGTTGTAATAATCTGTTTTTACCTTCCGTAGTCTGCAAAATGCAACCGCCACAAATGTTCTTTGATAGTCTCCTTGGCATTCACATGTGCAGCGGGTGTGTTGGAGAAAACTGTGGTGAGAGGCGGCTGGAATGTTGCCTTCGTCACACTTCCTTGGAAGTCCCAGTCTCCTTTGTCACTAGATCTGTTTCCAACAAAAGCACAAGATTCACGTATCTACGTTAGAGTAGAGGCCTTTAAAGATGATTTTACAAGCACCATGACCGAACATGAAAAAAACAAAACAAAACAAAAATACATGAAGCGGTAAAACAAGCGTTCATTAAACTCACTTTGGCTCTGGAGTCTTTGCTAAGAAGTCAGAAATTAGTCTTGTCAGATAGTCTCGATCTTGCAGAGATGCAAACAAAAAGCTGGCCTGCAGAGAAAGAGTGGAAAAGGAGATCTAACAACATGCAGTTTTTTTTTAACCCTTTCATTCCCAAGATCTTATATTTTCTCCTTACTGTCTGTCACACAGCTCTTATGAAGTTAGTTCAGAGAATTTGGTATTAACTAATAATCATCTAATTGATATTTTTATCTATTCTCATTACCAATCTGCTTGATGTTATATCCATATTGTAAGGAGAAATTCTGTCTTGTTCACGCCTGGGAGTTAACCCTTTAACTGACCCAAGATCTGATGTTTAATTCTCCCCTCTAGCTGCTACACATTTCTTTGTAAATAAGTTACGAGAATTTGGTGTCGGATCAAGATAACAACAACACCTTCAACCTGATAAGTTTGAATATTCTCACGACCTGTTCGCTAGATAATGTTTAAATACTATAGGGAGAAGTTACTTGTTTATCACTTCTGGGAGTAAAAGGGTTAAAGGGTTATAGCACGGTAAATCACTAAAGAAAAATGAAAAAGTCCTTTAAAAATATATTTTTTCCTTATCATTCCAATGATCTGAGAAGTAATTCTCCCTTTTGCTTGCTATTTAATTCGGCGTTCATCACTTTTGTGAAATAGGTGCCGTATCAACATGAAAAATATAACTTTTTCGAGGACTTGCAAGGCTGGGAATGCCTCATGGTAATTAACAACTACTCACCAAAATGGACCTGACTAATGGTGGATATTCACCGGCCCGCGAGGCAGCAAGATAAATATCCACTGCTAATCACGGACACCGAAGAGAATAGTTGATTTAGTATATACTAAAGCAGTGAGATAATATATCACAAAAATGTGATTTTAACTCATTTATTCTTGCCACGATTACAATATTTTCGGGGACAAATCTCGCGCGCATTGCGTGAAGATGAATAGCAAAGGATATTCAGAGTTTGAGTAGCCAATCAGAGCGCACCTTCAATGCCATCCACTGTTTTAGTATATACTAATTCAATTTACTCTGAAGATGCTCACCTTTGATTTGGTTGTGATGTGCACTGCATTTGGTATTATTGCTGAAGTTTCCACTTTTTCAACCAGTGTAATTTCTCTCATTGGAATCACCACCGACATTAACTGTCTGACCTAAAGGACCAACAAAGCAGTACTTGCTACCTCTGACAAAATTTTCACTGACTTTATACCGCATCACTGTTTTACTTCTACGCCAATTTACCATACTGGGCCAACGGAACGCGCAAAATATGCCACGGTATTACACTGTACAACAGAGAAGAAACACGGACGGGAAACAGAATAGCCCCGCTAAACGATCAAACGTTTCCCTTTTTTTTTCGGCTTTACTTTTCATTAAACAAACTTTACAGCGCTCCAAATTTTCTTGGTGATAGCAAACAATATATAATATATATTGTATATATTATATAATAATAAACCCCTTTCTCGATGTTTTAACATATAATACGAATAGAAATTCAGTTCTTTACCAGTATTTTACCACAGAGCTCGCAAAATATCCGCGCCTTCTACATGTTTAACTATCAAATAAGGTGTATATATCATGCCCTTTGTCTCACCTTGCTGCTAAAGCAGAGGTAGTTTGGAGAACAGTACAATGTTCCCCATTCATGAGCCTTTTCATGAGGACTCCACAGGGTGCATTCACAGTGACCATCAAGCTTCTCCTCTACAGGCAGCCGAAACAAGTTTCTGAAGATCAAACAAGATATCAATGGCATACCTACAGAAAGGGGGAGGGGTTTCTTTAATGCCAGTGACATACTTACCATGCACCTCACTCGTGAAAAACTCACATCTACACCCTACAACAATAACCTAACATTCACATAAAAAAAATGCCTCACATCAATTAATTTTTCTAGTTTACCTGTAAAATTCACTGTGTGCTCTGGCATCTAAGTCTCTCTTCAGAGATGGTACCTTTTTCAATTGTTTGCCTCTGTTTCTATGATAAGTCAGTCAAAATATAATAATTATTTAATGCATACATTCTGAAACAAACAACTTAACATTCATTTGTCCTTACAACCAATTGCATACAGCAGATGACATCATTAGGAATTTTTTCCTGTATCTATTCACTAGGACAAATAATTATAACCCTTTACAGCATTTCAGGCAAAAAGGTGACAAAATTAATACATGCGATAACACAGCATACAACATGTGTAATGTGACACAGATACAAATACGCTCAAATATAACAAACACAACAAAGAATATCATAGTACCTTTAACCCTTTCACTCCCAAGATCTAATTAGTAATTCTCCTTACTATCTGCCATACAGTTCTTATGATGTTAGTTCAGAGAATTTGGTATTGGATCAACTAATAATCCCATGATTGACATTCTTCTCTATTCTCATCACCTGCCTGCTTGATATTGTATTGATATTGTAAGGAGAAATTCTGTCTTGGTCACTTGTGGGAGTTAAAGGGTTAAGGCACTCCTAAAAGGCCTTTGTTTATGTGCAAGCTTATATCACCATAATGAAACAGCAGTTCTCAAATAGCAATAATTGACAATCAAAATATCAGAAAAGAGAGGTGACTTCCTTTAAGCCGGCTTACAGTTTATCTCCCACAGTAATAATCTGTGTATTTTCTAAATTGACTGGGCCTAGCTGGACGGAAAACACTATACAACAGATGAATTGTTATTCAGCTGGTAAGTGTGGACAAAGCATTCTGTGCTACCCACCAGATACAGATTTATCCACCCCTTGCTCAATGGGTTACTGGTGCATAACTTTCATTTCAAATTCTAGGCTTACAAATTCACAGACCAGTTTGATTTTCATTTTCTTTTGTTACAAACAAAGGCAAAACATCAATATTGGTTTGAGAAATTCTAATGTTAGCTTTGATGAACAATCTGAGCCAATGAGAACAAAACACTGAGTCCCTTACTTTGTGAGTAAAGGCAATGTTTTGTCTTCTTCATAACCTTCTTCTGATAGCAACCTATGACAAAGACAATGTAAGAAAATAAAATCAACAGAATTTATTGTTACAAATAGTATTGAATCATAGGCTGTCACAATTTAAAGCCTTTCAAGGCCTTTTCCCATCTTGATGTCAAAATCTGGAATGAAATACCCAGTGAATATAAAAATTTGCTGAAGAAATCCTTCAAAAAAGAAACAAAAAGAGCTCCTCTCAATATTCTATAGACTGAAAATTATTTTATGGAGCCTGATGAGATAATACTAACATTCAAACATGGCAAAACTGTGGCAAATTGAACCAGTTCTGCACAATTTTGTGTACACTTAGAAACTCTGGGACTTTTTCTCCTATACAGTGAGTGTCTTTCATTTTCCTCTTTTTCTTTTCTTAAGTATCTTTTTAGGTCTTTTAACATGTTATTTCTTCATTTGTGTATTATTCCAGTGTAATTTAATTGCTTAGGGTTAGAGTAAAATTAAATTTAGTTAAGGAAAAATTTAGCTGCCTGATTAGGATCTACTATCTGCAGTTCAGAGGAATATCTTAATATATAGATATATCTAAAAAAAATAATAAAATAAGTGTGAAAGCAAGAAGTTACAGCAAGTAGACCATCTCTCATACACAAAAGCAAAAGTATGCTATGCTAAAAAAATTCAAAAGTGGTTGGCACAATAGTCATTGAAAACAAGTAACTTGTCCCCAACCACTATCACCTGTCTTATTTGAATTTTGGACAGCTTCATTGAAAAGTCAAATAATCCCTGGTGAACATGTGTTCTAGAAATCTCCATCAAGATTTTAAACTATGTCATCACAGAACAAGTTCTTGAGCATGGAATTTTTCCCAGAGCTCTTGCTACATAAATTACACTCATCAAGACCAGAATTTATATTAAACAAATCATGTTTTTGTCTTTGAGTAGGGTTGTACTTTACTAATCACTGACTGACACATCATCCTTCATGTAAGCAACATACTGTACATTGTAAATACATTGACTAAAATGATTCCTTACTGTCGCATGGCTAGATTAGCCAGCTGCTCCATGAGACCAAATGTTTCTGTTATGTGAAGCAACAACGAGAAACAGAACTGCAAAATAATACAAAAATAAATTTTACAATAAGGCTTACAATCATGGCTTCTAACATAGAATAATTACTAAAAAGCATCTATGGGACTGTCCTGGAAGAAACCCATTCAAATTCCAACAGTACTCTTGACAAATTTTTAATTACATGATAAACTGAATGATACACATGTCCTGAATGGTTCTTCCTTGTACAAATCTCTTGGAGGACAGCCAGATACTTGACATCACCATAAACAATATTTCATTTTTCATTGTACAAAACAAACAGATTCCATGTTGCCGAGCATCTGTTCAATAATAGATCACAGAAGATGTCAAAATGTGGTAAGAACATCTGTGACACTCTTGGCTTTGCAAACAAACTGATTTGAGATGAAAATCTACAATTTGCAGAATGAACTAATAATCTGAAAGTTGCAAAATGCAATGTGTAACTTGCAAAATGAAAATCTGTTCTCGGAAAATGGAAATCTGTAATTATTGAAAAAACACTTTCATTTTCCCACTAAGCATGATATTTTATTCAGAAACATGTTGTTTACACTTTTGGTTAAGCTACATTTTTCATATTTATGTCCAGTCAGGGCAAGTGTCATGTCAAACATTGAATTATTGCAGTGACTAAACACATTGCTGACACCTTATAAACAGCACAGTCACAGCACCAAGTAATTTTTCAAATAATTAATATATATTTGCTTTATATGGCTGAATAGCACAGCACTTCTTTCAAATAGCCAACCCACCATTTTCTTTGCAAATTGCAGACTTTTATCTTGCAAGGTACAAACTTCAACTTTATTTTGCAGATTACGGAGTGACATTAAACAATTTAAGCCTCCTTTGTCAGTCTTTTAATGCAAATTTCCCTTTCTTTCATAACTTGGCTATTCTTCTTTTCAAGGAAATTGTTATTTTTATGATAAATTGGTAAAAAGACTTTGCATTGTCCAATTTGGTCAGCAATCATACCCATGATAAACAAATGACATTCCTACTGCACAGTCATCCCATTTTGTTCTCACTCATATGATTACAGACAGAATTGAACTCCATTCAGTCCTATTACTATAACTAATAACTTGATGGCTCCTTGTGAAATTTTCCTTCTCTCTAATTTGCCATCATGACTGCTTTGGTTTTCATTCCAGAACACTCCATCAAAAAGCATTCTAACAACAAAGGACATTTTTTATGTGGAAACTGAAGATAATCACCTCTCCTTCTCTTGTTGTGACTTTGACTCCATCAGTAAACAGGACACTACTGCTTCTCTCTAGAGACTAAAATATTGAATTTTCTATCAAAATATATGAAAAGCCAGTTTTTACATTGTATAAGCATACAAAAATCAATTGATATGAAACTGGAGAAATTCTGTATCATCAATATCTATGGTATATTTTAACAAGTTTATTTATCAGAATTATGACCCGTATGTCATGTGTGCACTTGTGCATGTATTGGAAAATAATAAAAATTCAAGTATAAGGGCCACGTATGATGGTGCAAGCTACAAAAGCCATATCACCCAACAGTGTTTAGTTTGGGCTTCATGCAGAAATATTCTGTTCTTGGTTTTGATATTTTGACCTCACTGTGCTCAATTTATGTGTCATGACTGCAAACCAAATATTTTTCCCCTTGGTTCACCCACTGGTGTGATAAGTAAAAAACATACAGAACATTGTAAGGTCATATCAGTTGGTCCCTCTGCTCCACCCCTCTAGGGTATAGTTCATCCAATATTTCAGAGAAAAGTCTCTCTACCTGGGAGGTGGGGTTGAGGGTTAAATTTCATTTACATTTCCTACAGGGGGTATATTCTGAAAACTGTACAAGGTATTGCAAAATAATATAGCAGCAAGAATTGTAGTTAAAGACTGTGCAATCTTTACATCCTAACATCAATATGTATATTCTCTATACTGATCTCTGTAAATTTCCTGAGGTATTGACAGGGAATTTTTGTGTGACAATCAAGAGCCTCTTTAGTTTGTGATCATTTCCTTTATTCTCAGAAACCCTAATGTGTGATTCAGGGATGATACTGTAAGGAGAAATTAGATGCATACCACAACATCCAACCATCTGATGACAAGCCTGGCCTCTTTTCCCATCAAAAATGAATAAAAGCACATGTAGTTAACAGATAAATACAGCCAACCCTGACGAGGAACTCTGCCTTTCCAGAAGCTACAAGAATAGTCTGAAAAAAAATATATAAACAGTATTTATCAACAGAAGCTGAGTATTGCAGCTGATCTGTGCTGTTTGAAACACAAATGTGGAGTATAACTTAACCCAGTTTAACCCTGAGAAGCATTTGACCCTAGGTAAGTTAGTAACAACTTTATTAATAGAGGGTGACACATAACTCTCTGAACTGATGACCTAGCTACCCTCTGTCCTTAAAGATCTTGTAGAAGAGGTTAGAATAATCTTAAAACATGCAAGTTTAAAACATAAAAATGTATCTAAAGCTTATCAATATAAGATCCACAGTAACACTATGCTATAAAATATTTTTTGATTGCAGAACTAAAAATATTGAATTGACTAATTATCCCCAAAATTAATATTTTTCTTTATTCTCATCACTTATCTGGTTGATATTGTATTGATATTGTAAGGAGAAATTATGTCTTGGTCACTCATGGGAGTTAAAGGGTTAAGCAGCAGCCAGTTTAACCCCTTTCAGTAACAATTCCCTCTAATCCATTATGTCTGCATCCAGGATAACACTCAGTTGATAACTACACTAACATATACTTTGAGCTATAATAGGGTTACAAAGAAGGATGCCTGATATTGTAAAAATAATTTATGGTCACTTGAACACTGACAAAATATTCAAGTTCCCCCTGTAAATATTTTATCAACTTTTATCATTTCATCACTTTTTTTTCTTATACACTGTAAAAATTTTAGTAAAATAAACTTTTGGACTTACAGTTAACCAGTTTTTCCTCAGCTGGGATGTTAAAGATCCTATGAAATCTCACTGCAGCTGACTTAAATCTGTTGGTTTCTGTTTCTGCTACAATGTCTTGATCTGCTGTTTCATTAGCCACCAGACTTTCAATCTTTGCCTTCACAAACTCTCTGATGTCATCTTCACTTTCAATAGTTTCTGTTGAATAGAACAAAAAATTGCTGGGATTGATTTACATGATCTTGGTTCTTTTAAAGAAATACAAAATGCACTGTTTCAGTGAAATACTCTACTCATCAGTCATGGCATGTTAAGCTTACTTATGGAGTAGAGGGAAATAAGATATCTGGGTTACAAGTACATGTAAAATTTGAGATTGAGACAAGTATTTTGCAGCTTTGTCTCAAAAATTAGTTGGCACTTTAAAAACAAGTAACCAGTGAAACACTGGTTTACCTAGAGAACATTTTTAAATCAAGAAAATTGATGCAATAGTCATCTAAAAACCTATAAGTATGGAAATTTGATTCCAGTGATGAAATAAAATCCTTCTAGAGGCTGTTTATACTACAACCTACCTAATGTCCCAAGCAAATGTTTTGCTAGCCAGTTCCAGTCCTCCTCAATCTCTTGGAATGATGCTGCACTTGCAATCACTAAAAAAAAAAACAAAATACAACACAGAAGTTATTTAAGGTGTCTGCCACATCTGGTTAAATTGTTCGCTAAACACCTGGATGATTTCAACGCCGGCTAAAGCCACATTCTAAGATGTTGGCTTTAAACTTATTAGGGGAACAGTTTTGTAACTGATGAGCTGTAGGAAAGATCAGGTCAGGAAACCCACTCAAATACAAATCAATTAAGCCTTGAAATGGAATCCCCTTGGCAAATGGACCAGAGCACAACCAACAAACACCTGTTGGTAACGTGTTCAGGCCAAGCTGAAGAATTGGGACCACATGCAGCCCACACTCCAAAGGCTAGCCCAGGACAGGATAAGGTGGATGAGGGAGATCATCTGAAGTACAGCCTATGTTCAAGGGGGAGCCAAGAGCATAACTAACTTGTTTTCCAACAATAATTTGGGCACTTCGTGGGATTTGAACCAAAAAAACCTACAAGGGTAGTCTACATGTGATACTTCAAGTGTTATTTTATTAGCCATTGGCTTCTTCAAGCACAATATCACTTCCTTTCCTTTCAATTCACATGTGATGCAACCTGATCACTCTATGTTTGGGTATATGTTTTGGTAGAGTGTCTGGTCAAAAGGAGTTTATTGTTTCCTCTATCCAAGGTAAATTAACAAATCCTTAACCCTCTGACCCCTGCTAGTGATTAACATCTACTATCTCCTTAGAGTATCACTGCTGAATCAGGTCTTAAGGCCATGAGAATAATGGAAATTATCATCAACTAAAGAGGCTCTTGAACAATACATAAATTACTGTTGATGTTACCACAGGGAATGTGTAGAGAATTCTCTGAAAAGTATTCACACTGATGTTAAGGTGTTAATGCTAAAACAATAAAACAATACAGAAAAAATATACAAATACAGTATTCTAATATCGTTTAGACTAGAATGTATATCTGTGCTGAGTTCAGTTTGCTGTTCTTTTCAATCGTAAATAATGAGTAGGAATTAAAAAAAAAAGGATTCACAATCCCATGACCTACATGTGCACACCAAGGGTATATATAACATGGCAGAATGTGTGTCATGTTGAAACATGCAGGTACATGTACAGGTTAAAAAAATATAAATAAATCATTTCCCTAACGGACAATCCCTTAATCAAAAAATCAATTAGGAAAAAAACTCACCATAACTTATGTCGGAGCTTGGCAGTTGTAAAAGTATGCGAAATGGAGCAGGCTAAACGAAGAGCAACATTGGCATCAGCTCCAAATTTCGGATTCAGTGTTTCATAAAGATTAGAGTAAGTATACAAAAAAAGATGAAATTGGCATGTGGCAAAATGCCTTGTTCGATCGAGGAAAGAAGCCCACCTTCGTGTCGAGAACATTGTCTAAAGTTCCGATCAGAAGTGAAGTCAAACCACCTCCACCGTGGCCTTTTCGTCGTTGAAGCACAAAGTAAGGGTTTGCTCTCTCAATCACCCTGAAAAGCAGAATGAAAGACGCAACAGTGAATCGAATAACAGTTTTGAAGCTAACTTTCGAGCGATCGTAAAGTTTCGTGTTTCATTACCAAAGAGCATTTGCCAAAAGAACTTCTTCGGGTTTTATCCACATTGCTGTCACGCGCTCCGATCAATTCTGAAAAGATAGATCATCATTTAGAGAGCGGATTTCTTCCCATATCTAATCGATTCAATTCCAAAACAAAGTTTAAATATAGCTGTTGTGAGCCTGCTCTGTTTGTGCAACTGCTGACGATCTGCTGACTTGAGGTCACTTGAAGTTGCGCCGCAAATGAACAGCAGTCGTTTTGAAGGGTGAAATTTATGTGGTGTAACTTTCATGTAATGCTCTGATATACTTACTTGGTTCCACTCTTGGGGCGTTTGAAGGGCGAGTCACAGATAAAATCGTTCTTAAGACTTGCTATAAAGCCCGGATATTGTTTCGTCACAAATGGGAGGGAACATGCCCTTCGTCAGAGCAAATGACATTCTTTTTGACGAACGGCTGACGCCCGAAAAGTGTGCTTTCAAAACTCTTTTACGGTGGCCAATTTAAATTGTCAACTCAGTTCACAAAAGCAAACAAATAAAAAATTACTCCCAAATTATTTCCAGTTATTATTTTCCAGTTATTTCCAAATTTTGTTGGCTGAACCTCACTTCGACATCCTTTGCCTGGCTTTTGCAGCGGGTGGTTTGTTGGAGTGACCAACGACGAATTTTGTCGGATTTCTTTGATAATCTCGGTCCTACACCGAAAAACCTGGCTAAAAATACCACGCGCCTTTGATTCCTGAGTTGGTTTGTACACAAGAGTACATAATGGAACTATTATATTCTAATGCTTCTGCACCACTGTTGATTTGGTGCAGCGAGACACCTTAACAAAGAGGGTTCCATTAGGGAGTAACTTTGATGGGTTTCCTTCCTCGTTTTGTCCTTTAGAATTCCTTTCATTTAGAGGTTTTACGATCAGAAAATCAATTTGAATTGAAGTTTACTTTACTATTTACCTTAACTAGGGCCAGTAACATTTCCTTGTTATTTCATGCAGTAGCCATTTCAATTCGAAGGTTTCAACATACCCCCGGGCAACCCACGGGCATTTGACCGTTGTCCGTGCCCGAGGGGTGGGGGATTGGAACCTTACCTGGCTGGGTTGGGGAATTTGAACCGTAGGTGTCAAGTCTTTTCATCGAAATACAATTCTTACCTCTTTAGATATTGAGGTGTAAAGCCGGGTAAAGAGTTCACTTTCGTGAGCGAATGTCTCAGAAGAAAAGGTCTATGAGGGCTAGGTTTTAAATCTTGTTTAATTCTTAATTAAAAGTCACGTTCGCTTATTTTACCCATTACAAAAAAAATTGCCCACCAAATCCAGCACCTTGTTGGGTCATTTGAACACAATTTCCGCCTGAGGGAGGGGGTGGGGCTTATAGATACACGTATCTGACGATTATTTAGTGCATCCATTGATAAGTGTAGTCCTTTTAGAGATCCATATCGCTCTTCAAATCTCAATATCTTTGTTAGATCAGAATCCTCTATCAGGGTCATAGCCTTCAATTAGAAAGGGTCTGAGAGGTCTGTCTCTGACTGCGATCAAGAAGAAAAACGAGCGCTACCCTAACGTTGAACTTGATACGAAATCCTACGTTATACATATTTTTTCTTTTAAGAGACACCTCCTCATTTGGCCTAAATACGTATGTACCGCCAGAAAGGTTATGGTTTTTGGGGTAGAAGTCGTGAATCGATTTAAATAACTTATTATAGCTGTTTTCACTCACCCCTCCCAATCGCTCCCCAGCTGTCAGCTTCAGAATCAAGAACAACTCGTCCATTTAGGACAGGAACAGTTTAGTACCTTTTCTCACTCAGGTTATTGCTTGACCACCTTTGAAGTCTATCAGTTCTCACTTTATGGTTTTAAAGTTACAGAATTCATAACGTAAACACAATGTCTTTCATCATATCGACACAAAACGATATATACAAAAAGAAATTAAATAAACCATAGAATGATATCTAAATTAATATAATATCACCAATCGGGTTCAAGCTTACATATCAGGAGAAGTGGTACAGCAAGTCATCATGTGATAAAGGAGACTACATAAGCTTATCTGAACACTTTTGACCTATAAAGTCTAACTTTACCGTGAGATATCAACTCAAAAAAGAGGAAGACGCAGACCACGCCTTAATAATCTGATGACAGCACAGGGTTTCTGAAGCCTCCCTTGTGTCTAATTCAATACATTCTGCTGGCATGCAGTTCAGTTTACCAAGCACAGTTGAAAAATTTAATTTTTCTGGAGAACCTATTGACATGAATTTCAAAAATTTCCGCCCTAATCATTCAATAGAAAAGTACATGGAATAAATAGATAAAGTTAGTAAGTATTTTTAGATGTACATGCCAAAAAATCACATGCTTAACAAAGAATAATTAAATCCCGGTTTTTCACGTAAGAAAATTTAATCCTGAAGTATCATTTTCTTGGCGGTTTTGACAGCGCAGCTAATTTATCCTGAAATAAAAAATTGAACTATCGGATTCTGTCAATAAGGCATTTATTGATATTTAAGAGCTATTGAGTACTTGTTGCTCGTTGAAAGCATTAACGATTGACGCTCAAATTATGATGCGCCCTCTGCATTATTCTCTTCTACATTATTTACGATGTAAAATGAACAGTAGTTTTAAAGTTAAGCGAATCTGCAATAAGTAAGACTTAAAAGTGTCTTCACATTTCCTCGACCTCTTAATAAAGACCTCAATCTGGGCCACGTTTACCTTTTCCAGTGTGAAAATGACTAAAATGCCACAAGGAATGGCCATCACAGAGGGTCCATAGACTTGTTAAATCCCGCATCCCACCGCTATTTTTAATTCCGCTATCCCGCCGCAATAAATATTTCTATCCCAATCCCGCTAGGAAAACTCATTCCAATTCAACGAACAAAATTACATGCAAACGCACGGAACCCTAGGGGCAGCGAAATGGCAGTAGCTTTTGCAAATATCTCCATGGCAAAATCGACATGCAAATACTAGATAAAGGCACTAATAAACCGCACGTTTAGAGACTTCAACTCTCTCTTTCTCACCAACAGATACGTCGTCAACCGGTTCATTGACCAAGCAAATAAACACCATCCAACAATAAAATTTACGGCTGAGATATCTGTTTCAGAAGCTACTTCCTTTCGACTATTTTTAAGGGTGAAAGATTCAACATCGAGTGACTTTTAACTGGAGCTAAATAATGATCCCGCCTATACCCGTCCAATCCCTTATCCCGCCTATACCCGTCCAATCCCTTATCCCGCCTTCCAAATGGAGCATATCCCGGTCCCGCCTCCCTATTTTCATCCCGCATCCCGTCTTTAAAATTTATCATATCCCGCATCCCACCTCGATTGTAAGCCTAATCCCGCATCCCGCCGAACCTATGCTGGACCCTCCCCATAACAATCGAATAAAGACCTCTCCTGTTTGCAATTAACCCTTAAACTCCCAAGATCTCATTAGCAATTCTCCCTACCGTCTGCCATACAATTCGTATGATGTCAATTTGGAGAATTTGGTATTGAATGAAATAATAATCCTCTTATTTGATATTTTTCTTTATTCTCGTCACTTCTATGCTTGATATTGTAAGGAGAAATTCTCTCTTGGTCACTCACGGGAGATAAAGGGTTAAGGAAATAAGAGATATCGACACACGCAGCGTAACTATAAACAGGATCGTTAAACAGCACATACCCGAGCGCATTAAACTACAAAATGATGAAAGCCATCTTTTTAACTCAATGAAATGCAGACTTAGAAGCTTAAATCCGAAAAGGGTTCATATGTGGCTCAGTAAATCAAAATTGCAGCCACAATCTCCAATCACATCCAAGGGGCGTGACATTTTGAGTACAGTGAAAAAGTCAACATGTTCTCTTTTCAGACCGAGGACGTTAAGGTTCGTTGACATTCTTAAAAGACTTTGAATCCTAGAGAAAGACTCGAAGTTTTTCGCGAATTGTTAACACTCAAAGCATCCCCTAAACACCGAGTTAAATGTACTTTTTATAGTCGTTCGATAGGCGTCAACCAACCCATTTCCTAGTATGAACATTTTTAATATTTCCAATCCGAAAAACTCATGCTAACTCGTCTGTGTCAAGAAAACCGACGGAAAGATTGTTGCGTGACTATGCTATGTCAGCCAAGTGAAAGCAAGTTTCGAGCGGTAATAATTATCGTAAAGATACGAAGTTTAAAAAAAGTGCTTGTCTGGCTCGCGGCAGTCCCTTGTCAGGCTCTGAAAACAGGCGCAATGGTGAATTATATGTTGCCTTAAAATATGTAAAGGTATTCAGCGTTGTCTGGCTCTTGTCCTGCTCTTGCCCTGCTCCTGTTAGCCTTGTCTGGTCTCTCATGGCCCTGAAAAAAGTGTAACATTTTCTGGCTCATTAGTTGAAAGCCAGGACTATTTTTTTTGTCCGGCTCATGTTGTGTCGATGTCTGGCTCTATGAATGGTAATCTGTCCGGAATAAGGCCGTCTTCAGGCTCTGTCAGACTCCAAATTTTCGTACGGGATATGTAGTTAAAAGGAGCCGATTTCGTGTACTAAAGGCATCTGTTAAACGAGTATCGACCGACCCTAACAGTCAACATAATAACTGAGTATCAGCCGATATGTAGAGCAACGCTCGGTCCACATGTTGACTGCATTTTTTTTTCCCGCACGTCTCAAGGGCAAAACGCCTTGCCCCGGCCAGGACTAGAACCCGGGTCGTCCGACTCGGAGCCCAGTGCACTGAACAAAGCCGTGGCGTTAGCGTGTCCGCGGTACAGTTGACCACGCATGTTAAAAGTAGCACCTTGTATGGTCGTACGGTCGTACATCCAAATTTTTTCGGCTTGATGGGTTACTACTATTTTGTATAATTATGGGGCTACGCTCTGCGAGCTCCGCTTATATATTTCAAATATACTAACTGTAAGAAATTAATTCCTTTCAAGTTTTAAATATACTAACTGAAAAATTTCACGCCGTTAATTAACGGCAAAAAATCTCTCAGTATGTATAAAGTACATTCAGACTTAGGGTTAGTGGCTTAAAATCTCACAGATTATAGACTACGATAATTACATATTACGCCGTTATCCAATTACCGAAAAGGAACGCGAGTTATTTCAAGA